GGTGGCACCACCAGCCTTGACAACAACAGTAGTGGTACAACCAGCCCGGACAACAACAGATGGTGGCACCACCAGCCCGGACAACAACAGATGGTGGCACCACCAGCCCGGACAACCACAGGTGGTGGCACCACCAGCCCGGACAACAACAGTAGTGGTACCACCAGCCTGGACAACAACAGATGGTGGCACCACCAGCCCGGACAACAACAGACGGTGGTACCACCAGACCGGACAACAACAGATGGTGGCACCACCAGCCCAGACAACAACAGACGGTGGCACCACCAGCCCGGACAACAACAGATGGTCGCACCACCAGCCCGGACAAGAACAGACGGTGGCACCACCAGCCCGGACAACAACAGATGGTGGCACCACCAGCCCGGACAACAACAGACGGTGGCACCACCAGCCCGGACAATAACAGACGGTGGTACCACCAGCCTGGACAACAACAGACGGTGGTACCACCAGCCCGGACAACAACAGATGGTGGCACCACCAGCCTGGACAACAACAGATGGTGATATATATATTTACATCCTTAGGTATATACAATAACTCTAAAATATATATTCTAATCACTCACCTCATCATACTTTCAAACATGTGCAGTTAGGTGCAGAACTTTAATTTAAAGGTAAATAGCTTCAGTCTATCAATAAATGTACTCATTATACTTAGTTACACAATAAGTAAAGTAATATCAACAACACAATGTTATTTAAGATTATCTATTATAAACATACCTACATACTTAAAGTATTTCAGCAAATTCAGCCTAACTATATATACCTGAATACGATGACTGATATGATACATATTTATCACACCTAACAATATAAGTACTATTTAAAGAAGTTAAGAAACCATACATATGCACCTTAGCAAACCATTCAAAGCACTAAATAAGAACACATAAATATACAATGCAAACAAACTAACCTGTGACAGTTGATTGAATTATTTCAGCGATGAACTGAGAACCTGGCTCCATACATACTCAAATACAAGTGTAAATTCAAACTGACCGGTCCCATAATGCACCCTGTCACTAGACTTTAGAGACCTGAGAAACAATAGAGAAGGCAATTGCAAGCGCAAGGGTGACTGTGCTATTGCAATAATGAAGCAGTTTAGATTGGAGGGTAGACTAATACTTAGGTATTAAAATAAGAGGTGACCTTAAAATACACTTGATGATATGTACATGATTACATAATACTAAAAATACCAGTAGCCCGGACAACAAAAGATGGTGGTACCACCAGCCCGGACAACAAAGTATTGACACAAAACCTCTACAAAGCTGCCGCCACGCCAAGGAAAGGAGATCCAAGGATGTCAGCAGCCTCCGGTCAACAAGACAAGACTATCACCTTCAAAAGTGGCAGACAAGTTTATTAATGTCAGCACGGAATGGTGAGGTGCTGCTTGACCACATTAATGTCAGCACGGCATGGTGAGGCGCCGCTTGACCACATTAATGTCAGCACGGAATGGTGAGGCGCCGCTTGACCACATTAATGTCAGCACGGAATGGTTAGGTGCCGCTTGATTACATTAATGTCAGCACGGAATGGTGAGGTGCTGCTTGACCACATTAATGTCAGCACGGCATGTTGAGGTGCCGCTTGACCACATTAATGTCAGCACGGAATGGTGAGGTGCCGCTTGACCACCGCCAGTTGCAGGAACCAAAGGATGCTGCAAGGGGCATGACGTTAACAGACTTGGAGCGGCTATTTTTTTAAAGATTTTACTTTTGTTTTATTGTGCTAGAGTTCTTTACTATATATTATTATTCATTTTCAGTTAATATTGATCATACAAAACCAAAGTATACATACCTTCTGTCAGAGAGTTCCATAACAGCTGTCTGCTGGCCACAATTCTGAATAGAGTGTGTGTTCATTGTTTTTAAATGTTATTTATCAGTATATAATTATGTATTTCTTCTCTTTGTATGTACCTGTAAACTGTTAACTATGAATTTATTTGTGTTTATTAATTGACTTTACTGATTCGTTAAGGTGAAAATTTTAATCATTGTTTAATCTACTGCGCATGCGCACACAGACAAAAGGTTAGGTGCCCCTATATCTGAAATTATTTGAGACATGTTCTTCAATATCTTTATCATTAAATGTACAGTTCGTATTGAAACCTGATCTTTAATGCTCAGCTGAGTACAATGTTCACCCAAGAGACGTTTGAACGGGGATAACACTTATCAACAAATTGGCCTGCTCTCAGAAAGACAAGGAACAGGTTGTATATGGCTGCAGTCGTCCGTACAAACAGGTTCACTGCGGCAACATCTCCCCACAATGAACTTCAAAGTGATTAAAGGAACATGATTTCTATCGAGATCCAGCTGATCATGAATTAATACAAACCACATCAGGTAATGTCTCTCTTTCGTTGAGGAATTGCATCATGAAAGTGTAACAGTAAATAAATGAGTAATTTCGAATATGTCGGAACATATCATTCGTGAACATTTGACTAAACCTGAAATGATCATATAGGAACAGACGTATTGATACATTGGAATTAGGAAGGCCCGTTATCAAATAATAATCACGGCTAATGAAGTAATGTTCATCTAAAAATGTAGCCGAAAACATTTTGTGTGCTGTGGTTATGTCTTTATTATATTTGGTCAGGATTAACATTTATTTAAAGATAAAGTGACAGGCAAAAGAAAGTCAAAATATTCATTTGAAAATTGAATTTGACCAAAACATAACAAAACGTTATCAAAACATTACGAGGCTAAAAACTGTTACCGAAATCTTGTAAACTTAGGAGCCAAAACATAACTATGATTCTCGTATCAAATGCATCGCCATCGAAAAACCGTTCGTATTTGTTTCATTTTTAGCCATCAATGAAATCCGGGTTAGAATTAGTGACATGCGACCATGCTTGTCGTAAGAGGCGACTTAAGGGATCGGCTGGTCAGGTTCGCTGACCTGGTTTGTATATGTCATGGTGTCCCAATTACGTAGACCGATACTCATGATGTCAATCAATGGATTGTCTGGTCCAGACTCGATTTTTTTACAGACCGCCGTTGAGTTCTTTAATGATATACGTCAAGTCAAGCAATCGGCGAAATGAAGTGACGCAGCCGAGAAAGGACAAAAGTCAAATCGTAAAATGTAAGGTGTGTAATGAAAAACAAAAAGGTATTAATTACAATTTATCAAAGGTTGGGTATTTGTTAATGGTAAAAGTGAAATTTAATGTAGTGCCACGTCATTCTTGACCTCTGACGTTACAAGTTATAACCTTGTTTCGCGACCTCAGAATATGACATAATGTTATTATGCACTACTTCCTTACGACCTTCCGACCTTGACATGCATATGCATGCACTCCACTTAAGGCCCTTCATGCCATGGGTGGAGCAAGTTACTTGTCAGAGGGGTCAGTTGAAGTCAAATTAAACAACGCCTCTCTCTCACGTTTTGTTATACATAAACTTAATACAAAGCACAAAGCTGAATAAGTTCCTGTATCTCATCACGGCACACAACGGAAACCCTCGTATCTCATCAAGGCACACAACGGAAACCCCCGTATCTCATCACGGCACACAACGGAAACCCCCGTATCTCATCACGGCACACAACGGAAACCCTCGCCTGTATCTCATCCAGGTAAACTAAGGAAACCATCACCTGTATCTCATCAAGGTACACAAAGGAAACAATCACCTGTATCTCAGCAAGGTACACAAAGGAAACAATCACCTGTATCTCATCAAGGTACACAACGGAAACCCTCACCTGTATCTCATCAAGGTACACAAAGGAAACTTTCATTTGTATCTCATCAAGGTACACAAAGGAAACCCTCACCTGTATCTCATCAAGGTACACAAAGGAAACTTTCATTTGTATCTCATCAAGGTACAGAAAAGAAACCCTCACTTGTACCTCATCAAGGTAAACTTAGGAAACCCTCACCTGTATCTCATCAAGGTAAACTAAGGAAACCCTCGTAGCTCATCAAGTTACACAAAGGAAACCCTCGTAACTCATTCATCAAGGTAAACAAAGGAAACCCTCACCTGTATCTCATCAAGGTAAACTAAGGAAACCCTCGTAGCTCATCAAAGTACACAAAGGAAACCCTCACCTGTTTCTCATCAAGGTATACAAAGGACACCGTCACCTGTATCTCATTAAGGTAAACTAAGGAAACCATCACCTGTATTTCACCAAGGTACACAAAGGAAACTTTCATTTGTATCTCATCAAGGTACACAAAAGGAACCCTCACTTGTACCTCATCAAGGTAAACTAAGGAAACCCTCGTAGCTCATCAAGTTACACAAAGGAAACCCTCGTAACTCATTCATCAAGGTAAACAAAGGAAACCCTCACCTGTATCTCATCAAGGTAAACTAAGGAAACCCTCGTAGCTCATCAAAGTACACAAAGGAAACCCTCACCTGTTTCTCATCAAGGTATACAAAGGAAACCCTCGTAACTCATTCATCAAGGTACACAAAGGAAACCCTCACCTATATCTCACCAAGGTACACAAAGGAAGCTTTCATTTGTATTTCATCAAGGTACACAAAAGAAACCCTCACTTGTACCTCATCAAGGTAAACTAAGGAAAACCTCACTTGTACCTCATCGAGGTACACAAAAGAAACCCTCACCTGTGTCTTTAAGTTCCTTCTGTAATCTGGCCGTTAATTCTGTTGTGTGTTAACGCTTCATGCTGCTGTGACAACACCAATGCCTCTTTCTTTGACACTGCCCCATGATGTACTCCCCAGAACACTGACATAGTTCATCTATTGACCCGAACCATGCCCTAGACCAGTTTCATTTGTACATATTAGCTCATCGCAATAAAACATATATATTAAGTTAGAAAATTCACCCAGTTGACATTTAGCAAATAAATCAAAAAGGGTTTGCATGAATTGCCATTAGAATGACACTTGTCACAAACTGGCAGATTAAGGGCTACGCAGCTCGTACTTAAGCCATGACCGGACATAATCACTGCGGATTTTACACTGACAGTCATGGAGCGTTTTCTCTGGGTATGTACAATGTAATTGTAACCTGATGTGAACTTTTTACTTCGATGTAGCCGATGTTTTACCCCATTTCCCAAACAGTTTCAATACGTAAATCACACATGTGATGCAATGCCACTCACAATGGCCCTACTCAACGTATAGCATAGTTTATTTGGACGGATGCGTGTCTTTCAGTGGCCGAGTGTATATTTCATTTGTTTCTGCTATATTTCCAAAGGTCCTGTGTATAGCTGCCGGGTTCTCTGTCAACTGTAAGTAATGCGCTGTTGGGGGATGCATGTGATTGTTCCTTACAGTTCGGGAGTTCAATTGGAGAAATAACTATTTATCTACTTACATATTGCAACATTCAAAACAGTTTTCTTGAAGTATCTTATATATTACACCATTCAATACAGTTTACTATAAGTATCGTATATATTACCTCGTAATAAACGAGTCTCTATTATTACAGTATTCATCTCAGTTTACAATAAATCTTATATATAAAGCAGCATTCAATACAGTTTATTATAAATGTCTTTAATATAATAGCATTCAATACTGTTTACTACAAGAATCTTATATATTACCTCGTAGTGAACGAGTCTCTATTATTACAGCATTCAATACAGTTTACGATAAGTATCTTTAATATTACAGCATTCAATACAGTTTACTGCACGTATCTTATTTATTGCTGCATACAATACAGTTTAATATACGTATATTTAATAGTACAGCATTAATACAGTTTACTTTAGGTATTTCTCATAGTACAGTATTCATTTAAGTTTACTATAAAAAACATTATATATTACAGCATTCAATACAACTTAGAACCAGTATCTTATATACAACAACATTCAATACCAGTTTACGATATACATCACTAGTATATTACAGCATCCAATACATTTTGCGATACGTATCTTATGTATTACAGCAATAATTCAGTTTTCAATAAGAATCTCTAATATTACAGTATTCATTTAAGTTTGCTATAAGTATCTTATATATCACAGCATTCAATACAGTTTATGATAAGTATCTTATATATTACAGCTTTCAATACAATTTGCTACAAGTATCTTATATATCACATCATTCAATACCAGTTTACGATATATATCATATACTAGTATATGATATATATACAGTATTCATTTCAGTTTAGTATAAGTATCTTAAAAGTATCTCTTATATTACAGTATTCATTTCAGTTAAGTATAATATCCTATATATAACAGCATTCAATACAGTTTACTTATACGAATCTAATATATTACAGCATTCAAAACAGTTAACCATATGAATCTTATATATTACCTCATTCAAAACAGTTTACTATACGTATCTTATATATAACAGCATTCAAAACAGTTTACGAGAAGCATCTTATATATTACCGCGTCTAATACAGTTTACTATAAGTATCTTTAATAAAACTGCATTCAATACAGTTTACTATAAGTATCCTTAATATTACAGCATTCACAACAGTTTACTAGAAGTATTCTATACAGTACAGTATTCATTACAGTCTACAATAAACATCTTATATAATACAGCATTCAATACAGTTTACTATAAGTATATAAATATTACTGCATTCAATACAGTTTACTACACGTATCTTATATATTACAGCATGCAATACAGTTTACGATAAACATCTTATATATTACAGCATGCAATACAGTTTACTACACGTACCTTATATATTACATCATGCAATACAGTTTACGATAAACATCTTATATATTACAGCATGCAATACAGTTTACTGCACGTATCTTATATATTACAGCATGCAATACAGTTTACGATAAACATCTTATATATTACAGCATGCAATACAGTTTACTGCACGTATCTTATATATTACAGCATGCAATACAGTTAACTGAAAGTATCTTATATATTACAGGATGCATTACAGTTTACGATAAACATCTTTATTTTACAGCATGCAATACAGTTTACTGCACGTAGCTTATATATTACAGCATGCAATACAGTTTACTACACGTATCTTATATATTACAGCATGCAATACAGTTCACTGCACCCATCTTATATATTACAGCATGCAATACAGTTTACGATAAACATCTTATATATTACAGCACGCAATACAGTTTACTGCACGTATCTTTATATTACATCATTCAATACAGTTTACGATAAACATCATATTACACCATTCAATACAGTTTACTATAAGTATCTTTAATATTACAGCATTCAATACAGTTTACTTTAAGTATCTTTAATATTACAGCATTCAATACAGTTTACTATAAGTATCTTTAATATTACAGCATTCAATACAGTTTACTTTAAGTATCTTAATATTACAGCATTCAATACAGTTTACTATAAGTATCTTTAATATTACAGCATTCAATACAGTTTACTTTAAGTATCTTTAATATTACAGCATTCAATACAGTTTACTATAAGTATCTTTAATATTACAGCATTCAATACAGTTTACTTTAAGTATCTTTAATATTACAGCATTCAATACAGTTTACTATAAGTATCTTTAATATTACAGCATTCAATACAGTTTACTATAAGTATTTTATGACCCATAGCATGACCATATCTCATGTTCCTACTTCAGATGGGCTGAGAAGGGCGCCTTATCCGTGTGAACCGGGGGTGAGTGTTTCACACGTCGGATCTCGGTTTATAAATGTCCAATCACTGTAAAACAATGGAACCATGTTAACCTGGGATTGTGTGGGTGAGTTTGGGGTTAAAGGCTCTGTGTTTAAGATCGCTTGCACAAATCGTGTGGTATCTCAGTGGTTAAAGCTTCTCTCTGTCGTCGAAGACCTGCGTTCGTTTCTTCACGGTGAAATCCATTTCTGGTGAGTTTGCTATAACCGTACTCGTTCACTCGTACTCGTGCTGAAAAGGATTTCAGTTGAAGCCTGACACATGTGTATCCGGCTCCAGCACGTGGGGGTATCGAGACTTTGCTGGACAAATACTCATCACCGATGTAATCAAGGACTATCTTCCTTTAAACTCAGCTAAAGATTCACTTCTGTTCTTAGCCCCTTTATCCCCTCCTCGCTAACTGGAAACAGGTGGTTAACAAAGGACTCTTGTTTTTTATTGGAGCTGGACAGAATAAAACGCCCTGCCGCACGTCCTTCACCAAGGTTGCGTCAGCAACTAACACTGACATGTTACTGACACAGGGCAGTCACCAGGGGAGGGATCCCCAATGATAAAGACATTAATCATTTCTATAATTTCAATTGGCTCCTAAAAATAGTAAACATTCACTTATTCGAATGAAGCGCATACAATCCTGCGTGTGGTTTACATGAGACTGTAACATAGGGTAAAACCAATTAATGACAATAGCGATGTGGTTGGAGTGGGAATACACTACGAACAAGACCTAGCCTGGTTGAATCATTTTCACACAAGGATAACATCAACGCAGCTTCTTATCTAACCGACCGGTGAAGATCCGGGGTAGAATAGGTCTTCAGCAACCCATACTTGCCACAAAACGCGACTATGCTTGTCGAAAGAGGAGACTATGCTTGTCGTAAGAGGCGACTAACGGGATCGGGTGGACAGGCTCGCTGACTTGGTTGATGCATGTCATCGTGTCCCAATTGCGTAGACCGATGCTCATGATGTCAATCACTGGAATGTCTGGTCCAGACTCGATTATTTACAGACCGCCGTCATTTAGCTGGCATATTGCTGAGTGCGGCGTTATACAACACACGAACAAACAAGTAAATGTAATCTACCAGTACTGTATAATTATACTGTTTGACGATCGTTTTTGTTTTTGTTTGCAGTTAAATGTGAACTGTACAACTGGAGAATGTCGGTTAGTGTTCAGTTGCAGTCTTCGTCGTTGTGGAGTGCGTCCTGAATGTGTAGGTAAGGGAAAGCTGTATTTGTACTTGTGTTTAAAACTACTATTAGTTTTCATTCATTTTCAATAACATTAGATTATTTTAGTGATAGTGTCAGTGGACGTCATTACATATAGCACACATGACACATGACACCTTCGTGTGTAAGTAGAGTTGTGTTCTAGACGAATACTGTGTGTATTCTGTATGTATGTCACAGTGTACGTGATGTATACGATGAGTATACATATCTGCAAGAGTTTCAGTATTTCATCACTTGGTGAGAACTGTACATTCCTGCTTTACTGAAAGCATGTATTACCCTTTCGTGAAGAGATCACCTATTTGATAACAATACACCTTTAAACTGTTTAATGACATCAGGTGCGGACTATGTTTGGCTAGTCATTTGAACGGGCCCGTCGCCTCTTACGTCTTCCACTGTGCAACTGTACCCTACAACGTCTACTCTATGCCTACACGGATAATCTACTCTCGAAAGACACTTCTATTTTTTACAAAGCACACGTTATCTCTCGCAGAAGTCTCGAACAAAGGTGATTAACATGAAGAGTTTGCGGACTCTCATTAAGTGATGTGGCAGTACAAGCACAGAGGCACTATACAGCTTCAGAGCATAACTAATATACAAACCATTATGTTGAAGTATTCAAATAACAGGTATACCAGGACTCCATCCTTATGTTGTAATATAACAGCCTCTTGAAACATCAGGTCTTCATTCTTACGTTATACCAGAACAGCCCCCTGAAGCATCAGGTCTTCATCCTTATGTTGTACTATAACAGCCCCTTGAAGCATCAGGTCTTCATTTTTACATTATACCAGAACAGCCTCTTGAAGCATCAAGTCTTCATCCTTATGTTGTACTATAACAGCCCCTTGAAGCATCAGGTCTTTATTCTTATGTTGTACTATAACAGCCTCTTGAAGCATCAAGTCTTCATTCTTATGTTGTACTATAACAGCCTCTTGAAGCATCAGGTCTTCATTCTTATGTTGTACTATAACAGCCTCTTGAAGCATCAAGTCTTCATTCTTATGTTGTACTATAACAGCCTCTTGAAACATCAGGTCTTCATTCTTATGATGTACTAAAACAGCCCCTTGAAGCATCAGGTCTTCATTCTTATGTTATACTATAACAGCCTCTTGAAGCATCAAGTCTTCATTCTTATGTTGTACTATAACAGCCCCTTGAAGCATCAGGTCTTCATTCTTATGTTGTACTATAACAGCCTCTTGAAGCATCAAGTCTTCATTCTTATGTTGTACTATAACAGCCTCTTGAAACATCAGGTCTTCATTCTTATGTTGTACTAAAACAGCCCCTTGAAGCATCAGGTCTTCATTCTTATGTTATACTATAACAGCCTCTTGAAGCATCAAGTCTTCATTCTTACGTTATACCAGAACAGACCCTTGAAGCATCATGTCTTCATCCTTACGTTGTTAGAACAGACTCTTGATAAATCAGGTCTTCATCCCTACGTTGTACTATAAAAGCTTATTGAAGCATCAGGTCTTCATTCTTATGTTGTACTATAACAGCCCCTTGAAGCATCAGGTCTTCATTCTTATGTTATACTAGAACAGCCCCTTGAAGCATCATGTCTTCCTTCTTACGTTATACTATAACAGCCTCTTGAAGCATCATGTCTCTTTCTTACGTTATACTATAACAGCCCCTTGAAGCATCAGGTCTTCATTCTTATGTTATACTATAACAGCCTCTTGAAGCATCATGTCTTCATCCTTACGTTGTTAGAACAGACTCTTGATAAATCAGGTCTTCATCCCTACGTTGTACTATAACAGCCTATTGAAGCATCAGGTGTTCGTCCATACGTTGTACTAGAACACCCTCTTGATACACCAGATCTCTACTTCGACGTTACACAATAACAGCTGCTTTAGTCATCATGCCTCTATTCCGATATTATAACAGCCTCATCGTACACCAGACCTCTACCTTGACGTTGTACTAGAACAGCCTCTTGATACACCAGGCCTCTACTCCGACGTTACACTATAACAGCCGCTTGAAGCATCAGGTCTTCATCCTCACGTTGTACTACAACAGCCTCTTGATACACCAGACCTCTACTTCGACGTTACACAATAACAGCCGCTTGATACACCAGGCCTCTATACCGACGTAAAACAATAACAGCCGCTTGATACACCAGGCCTATATACCGACGTTACACTATAACAGCCGCTTGATACACCAGGCCTCTATACCGACGTTACACAATAACAGCCGCTTGATACACCAGGCCTCTACTTCGACGTTACACTATAACAGCCGCTTGATACACCAGGCCTGTATACCGACGTTACACAATAACAGCCGCTTGATACACCAGGCCTCTATACCGACGTTTCACTATAACAGCCGCTTGATACACCAGGCCTCTATACCGACGTTACACAATAACAGCCGCTCGATACACCAGGCCTCTATACCGACGTTACACAATAACAGCCGCTTGATACACCAGGCCTATATACCGACGTTACACAATAACAGCCGCTTGATAAACCAGGCCTCTTTACCGACGTTACACAATAACAGCCGCTTGATACACCAGGCCTATATACCGACGTTACACAATAACAGCCGCTTGATACACCAGGCCTATATACCGACGTTACACTATAACAGCCGCTTGATACACCAGGCCTCTATACCGACGTTACACTATAACAGCCGCTTGATACACCAGGCCTCTATACCGACGTTACACAATAACAGCCGCTTGATACACCAGGCCTCTATACCGACGTTACACAATAACAGCCGCTTGATACACCAGGCCTATATACCGACGTTACACAATAACAGCCGCTTGATACACCAGGCCTATATACCGACGTTACACTATAACAGCCGCTTGATACACCAGGCCTATATACCGACGTTACACAATAACAGCCGCTTGATACACCAGGCCTATATACCGACGTTACACAATAACAGCCGCTTGATACACCAGGCCTCTATACCGACGTTACACAATAACAGCCGCTTGACACACCAGGCCTATATACCGACGTTACACTATAACAGCCGCTTGATACACCAGGCCTATATACCGACGTTACACAATAACAGCCGCTTGATACACCAGGCCTCTATACCGACGTTACACAATAACAGCCGCTTGATACACCAGGCCTCTACTTCGACGTTACACTATAACAGCCGCTTGATACACCAGGCCTCTATACCGACGTTACACAATAACAGCCGCTTGATACACCAGGCCTATATACCGATGTTACACTATAACAGCCGCTTGATACACCAGGCATCTATACCGACGTTACACAATAACAGCCGCTTGATACACCAGGCCTCTATACCGACGTTACACTATAACAGCCGCTTGATACACCAGGCCTATATACCGACGTTACACAATAACAGCCGCTTGATACACCAGGCCTATATACCGACGTTACACTATAACAGCCGCTTGATACACCAGGCCTATATACCGACGTTACACTATAACAGCCGCTTGATACACCAGGCCTCTATACCGACGTTACACTATAACAGCCGCTTGATACACCAGGCCTCTATACCGACGTTACACAATAACAGCCGCTTGATACACCAGGCCTCTATACCGACGTTAGACTATAACAGCCGCTTGATACACCAGGCCTATATACCGACGTTACACAATAACAGCCGCTTGATACACCAGGCCTATATACCGACGTTACACTATAACAGCCGCTTGATACACCAGGCCTATATACCGACGTTACACTATAACAGCCGCTTGATACACCAGGCCTATATACCGACGTTACACTATAACAGCCGCTTGATACACCAGGCCTCTATACCGACGTTACACTATAACAGCCGCTTGATACACCAGGCCTATATACCGACGTTACACAATAACAGCCGCTTGATACACCAGGCCTATATACCGACGTTACACAATAACAGCCGCTTGATACACCAGGCCTTTATACCGACGTTACACAATAACAGCCGCTTGATACACCAGGCCTTTATACCGACGTTACACAATAACAGCCGCTTGATACACCAGGCCTTTATACCGACGTAAAACAATAACAGCCGCTTGATACACCAGGCCTGTATACCGACGTTACACTATAACAGCCGCTTGATACACCAGGCCTGTATACCGACGTTACACTTTAACAGCCGCTTGATACACCGGGCCTATATACCGACGTTACACAATAACAGCCGCTTGATACACCAGGCCTATATACCGACGTAAAACAATAACAGCCGCTTGATACACCAGGCCTCTATACCGACGTTACACTATAACAGCCGCTTGATACCCCAGGCCTATATACCGACGTTACACTATAACAGCCGCTTGATACACCAGGCCTATATACCGACGTTACACTATAACAGCCGCTTGATACACCAGGCCTATATACCGACGTTACACTATAACAGCCGCTTGATACACCAGGCCTCTATACCGACGTAAAACAATAACAGCCGCTTGATACACCAGGCCTATATACCGACGTAAAACAATAACAGCCGCTTGATACACCAGGCCTATATACCGACGTTACACTATAACAGCCGCTTGATACACCAGGCCTCTATACCGACGTTACACTATAACAGCCGCTTGATACACCAGGCCTATATACCGACGTTACACTATAACAGCCGCTTGATACACCAGGCCTATATACCGACGTTACACAATAACAGCCGCTTGATACACCAGGCCTATATACCGACGTTACACAATAACAGCCGCTTGATACACCAGGCCTATATACCGACGTTACACTATAACAGCCGCTTGATACACCAGGCCTCTATACCGACGTTACACTATAACAGCCGCTTGATACACCAGGCCTATATACCGACGTTACACTATAACAGCCGCTTGATACACCAGGCCTATATACCGACGTTACACAATAACAGCCGCTTGATACACCAGGCCTCTATACCGACGTTACACAATAACAGCCGCTTGATACACCAGGCCTCTATACCGACGTTACACTATAACAGCCGCTTGATACTCCAGGCCTATATACCGACGTTACACTATAACAGCCGCTTGATACACCAGGCCTATATACCGACGTTACACTATAACAGCCGCTTGATACACCAGGCCTATATACCGACGTTACACAATAACAGCCGCTTGATACACCAGGCCTATATACCGACGTTACACAATAACAGCCGCTTGATACACCAGGCCTCTATACCGACGTTACACAATAACAGCCGCTTGATACACCAGGCCTCTATACCGACGTTACACTATAACAGCCGCTTGATACTCCGGGCCTCTTTTCCGACGTTATACTCGTTTACAATGACATTTGGAGTCGCAGGTCTCGCTAGTAGCATTATGTTTCCTACTGTCATGTGGTCGCTCGCATGTGGCTTCAGTTCAACTGCATTGCATCCCACATGAGATGTGTTGATCTTGACGTGATTATTTGTTTTGTGTAACTTCCAACAGATCCTTCACCGGCACCATCAATTAACTGTACCATTGGAAAACCTACCATTGACACCAACCTCCAGGAAATCTCTTGTGCGCCAGACGGGTCATGTCCAGCAACCACTGGGTGTGTTCGAGGTCCCCCAGCCAAGCCAGGAGTGTGTTGTTTTAATCCTTCTTCAGGACCTCCGAGACCTCCGGGACCTCCGGGACCTCCGAGACCTCCAGGTTGTCAATCCTCTCCATTAGGGTTAGGGTTAAGGTTAGGGTTAGGGTCAGGGTCAGGACCTACAGGTTGTCAGTCCTCTTCATTAGGGTTAGGGTTAGGGTTAGGGTTAGGGTTAGGGTTAGGGTTAGATTTAGGGTTAGGGTCAGGACCGCTTCATTGTGTGTTGCTCAACACAGATGCCATCGATGTGCATACTCCCTCCCTGAATGAACTATGAATCTTGTATTTTATCATTGATTGACTCTTCGACAATAGATTACCTAAATACGTAGTCATTAACATGTAAGTTTATGGTAGTGAAGAATTATTAACAACTATGAAGGCACAGAAATATATCAGTTCGTTTCAGCTCAAAGAGAAAGAGAAATATGAACCTGATGGAAATAATGATGGTATTGACAAATATGATGTCAGATATACAGCAGGTTTGAATGTATCCATGGAATTACTTTGGTGGGTGGGCTTATCACCTTTAAGTGACTATATGACGTCAACGCCAGAGAATACCCAGCCCAGGTTCCAGTGGGCGTCAAAGATAGAACAGCAGGTGACACTTTATGAAGGGATCAACATAAAGAACTACCTCAAAATAAATAAAAATCGATTTACTTCAAAAAATAATTTTCATGTTTAATTGTCGCCATTTCTGTTGTCTGGAATACTTACGTAAAGTCATAGGCAATAAATGTACTTGCAGCAAGTAATGTTTTTATTGACCGATATTAACATGACGAAAGCGAAATCCAATGTTGGAGATGCCAGATGAACAATCGCCTTATTGGTCGTGATGTTGATCACTGGATTGTCTGGTCCAGGCTCGAGTGTTACAGGCCGCCGTCTCATGTCAGGGGTACTGCTGTGAGGCCTTAGGCAACACACAGAGACTTACCTTTCATGAACAGTGTGTGAGTGACGGGCGCTACCAGTAGAGCGCGAGATGTGTGAGTGACGGGCGCCAGCAGTAGAGCGCGAGATGTGTGAGTGACGGGTGATACCAGTAGAGCGCGAGATGTGTGAGCGACGGGTGCTACCAGTAGAGCGCGAGATGTGTAAGTGACGGGTGATACCAGTAGAGCGCGAGATGTGTGAGCGACGGGTGATACCAGTAGAGCGCGAGATGTGTAAGTGACGGGTGATACCAGTAGAGAGCGAGATGTGTGAGTGACGGGTGATACCAGTAGAGCGCGAGATGTGTGAGGGACGGGTGCTACCAGTAGAGCGCGAGATGTGTAAGTGACGGGTGCTACCAGTAGAGCGCGAGATGTGTGAGCGACGGGTGATACCAGTAGAGCGCGAGATGTGTGAGGGACGGGTGCTACCAGTAGAGCGCGAGATGTGTGAGTGACGGGTGATACCAGTAGAGCGCGAGATGTGTGAGTGACGGGTGATACCAGTAGAGCGCGAGATGTGTGAGTGACGGGTGATACCAGTAGAGCGCGAGATGTGTGAGTGACGGGTGATACCAGTAGAGCGCGAGATGTGTGAGTGACGGGTGATGCCAGTAGAGCGCGAGATGTGTAAGTGAAGGGTGATACCAGTAGAGCGCGAGATGTGTGAGTGACGGGTGATACCAGTAGAGCGCGAGATGTGTGAGCGACGGGTGCTACCAGTAGAGCGCGAGATGTGTGAGTGACGGGTGCTACCAGTAGAGCGCGAGATGTGTGAGTGACGGGTGATACCAGTAGAGCGCGAGATGTGTGAGTGACGGGTGATACCAGTAGAGCGCGAGATGTGTGAGTGACGGGTGATACCAGTAGAGCGCGAGATGTGTGAGTGACGGGTGATACCAGTAGAGCGCGAGATGTGTGAGTGACGGGTGATACCAGTAGAGCGCGAGATGTGTAAGTGAAGGGTGATACCAGTAGAGCGCGAGATGTGTGAGTGACGGGTGATACCAGTAGAGCGCGAGATGTGTGAGTGACGGGTGCTACCAGTAGAGCGCGAGATGTGTAAGTGACGGGTGCTACCAGTAGAGCGCGAGATGTGTAAGTGACGGGTGATACCAGTAGAGCGCGAGATGTGTAAGTGACGGGTGCTACCAGTAGAGCGCGAGATGTGTGAGCGACGGGTGATACCAGTAGAGCGCGAGATGTGTAAGTGACGGGTGCTACCAGTAGAGCGCGAGATGTGTAAGTGACGGGTGCTACCAGTAGAGCGCGAGATGTGTAAGTGACGGGTGATACCAGTAGAGCGCGAGATGTGTGAGCGACGGGTGCTACCAGTAGAGCGCGAGATGTGTGAGTGACGGGTGCTACCAGTAGAGCGCGAGATGTGTGAGTGACGGGTGCTACCAGTAGAGCGCGAGATGTGTAAGTGACGGGTGCTACCAGTAGAGCGCGAGATGTGTGAGCGACGGGTGCTACCAGTAGAGCGCGAGATGTGTAAGTGACGGGTGCTACCAGTAGAGCGCGAGATGTGTAAGTGACGGGTGATACCAGTAGAGCGCGAGATGTGTGAGCGACGGGTGCTACCAGTAGAGCGCGAGATGTGTGAGCGACGGGTGATACCAGTAGAGCGCGAGATGTGTAAGTGACGGATGATACCAGTAGAGCGCGAGATGTGTGAGCGACGGGTGCTACCAGTAGAGCGCGAGATGTGTAAGTGACGGGTGCTACCAGTAGAGCGCGAGATGTGTGAGTGACGGGTGCTACCAGTAGAGCGCGAGATGTGTAAGTGACGGGTGCTACCAGTAGAGCGCGAGATGTGTGAGTGACGGGTGATACCAGTAGAGCGCGAGACGTGTGAGTGACGGGTGCTACCAGTAGAGCGCGAGACGTGTGAGTGACGGGTGCTACCAGTAGAGCGCGAGATGTGTGAGCGACGGGTGCTACCAGTAGAGCGCGAGATGTGTGAGCGACGGGTGCTACCAGTAGAGCGCGAGATGTGTGAGGGACGGGTGCTACCAGTAGAGCGCGAGATGTGTGAGTGACGGGTGATACCAGTAGAGCGCGAGATGTGTAAGGGACGGGTGATACCAGTAGAGCGCGAGATGTGTAAGTGACGGGTGATACCAGAAGAGCGCGAGATGTGTGAGTGACGGGTGATACCAGTAGAGCGCGAGATGTGTGAGCGACGGGTGCTACCAGTAGAGCGCGAGATGTGTAAGGGACGGGTGCTACCAGTAGCACGCGAGATGTGTGAGTGACGGGTGCTACCAGTAGAGCGCGAGATGTGTAAGTGACGGGTGCTACCAGTAGAGCGCGAGATGTGTAAGTGACGGGTGATACCAGTAGAGCGCGAGATGTGTGAGCGACGGGTGCTACCAGTAGAGCGCGAGATGTGTGAGCGACGGGTGATACCAGTAGAGCGCGAGATGTGTGAGTGACGGGTGCTACCAGTAGAGCGCGAGATGTGTAAGTGACGGGTGCTACCAGTAGAGCGCGAGATGTGTGAGCGACGGGTGATACCAGTAGAGCGCGAGACGTGTGAGTGACGGGCGCTACCAGTAGAGCGCGAGACGTGTGAGTGACGGGTGCTACCAGTAGAGCGCGAGAGGTATACGCTTTTCGCGAACACATGTCATCACCTATTTTCAGGGATCCATTCAAATAATGTTCACGACTGGTTGGCTTTTCCCACCCATAAAATATATTTCGGCAGATAATCGTGACTGGCTTTTCTCTGACGTTGATGTTTTGCAGCCCCTATTTTAGCTCTGAGACCTGTCAATATCATGGATGCAAATTCAGAATGTACTGTTACATATTTTTCTGTATTTCTTTTGTTAAGGACCACCACAACCAGATCCAAATCCTTTAGACCCTTGCTTCCCTGGCGTGAGTCTCATTTTGTCAAGGATCTATCAGTGTGCAAACAGGCAACATTGCTTGATAACGGCGTTAGAACCTATACTACTCAAAAGAAGTTAAAGAACACCAGATATATAATACACGATTTAGCAAATTGGTCATGGCATTATGTGTTATAACATTACTATCATCTAATGTTTGGCAACATGTTGCACCGAGTCTGGGGTATTGCTGATCCTCCTGACACTTTCTGGAAACACTTCTGGTAGTCATGCAAATGAATTGAAAACATGAGCAAAACACAGGAATATTGTCGCCCAAACACAACGCTGCACCTGTCCTTAGCAACAACCAACACAATTTTCATGCTCAGCATATGAAAGTGGTGATGTTCATGGTGCACGTGCATGCTTTCCCTTTAAGAAGGCGATGATGATGATCGTGTTATCACACTTTCCAAAACCATGCCACAGAGACGACATCTGACTGATGTTGATAGAGGACGAGCTATTGGTTGGCTCCAGGATTGCCTTTCTTTACCTGAAGTGGGCAGAAGATTGCAGGTGTCTCCCTCTGTCATTCACACCTTTGGCATCGTTTTGCTGCCACTGGCGGAGTGCAAGAGCGACATCGTTCTGGACGGCCAAGGTGTACCTCACAACGTGATGACCGATACCTGGTTCTCCAAGCACTCAGGCAGCGTACATCAACAGCAAACAACCTCAGGTTACAGTTAAGGGCTGTCAATAACACTGTCGTTAGTGATCAGTCGGTGCGAAACCGTTTACGAGCTGCGCACTTGAGAAGTCGACGACAAGCAGTGAGACCACCTTTACGTCCAGTTCACAGAACAGCACGTCTGGCTTGGTGTCGACAACATGTGCGTTGGAACAGACAGCAATGGTCTCGTGTACTGTTTACAGACGAGTCGCGATTCTGTTTGCAGCTCAATGATGGAAGAATACGGGTGTGGCGTCGTACTGGAGAGAGATTCACTGATGCCACAGTACGTGAACGTGTCGCTTTTGGTGGGGGATCAGTGATGGTATGGGAAGGATTCAGTTGGAATCATAGGACTCCTCTGTACCATATTGTGGGGAATCTGAATGCTGCCAGGTACCGTGATGAGATTCTTGAACCCCTGGTATTGCCCACACTTCGTCAGATTGGTCAAGGTGCTATCCTTCAGGACGACAATGCAAGACCCCATCGCGCTCGGATTATCACTGACTATCACAGACAAAGGCAGATTACCGTTATGCAATGGCCTTCTTATTCGCCAGATCTGGCGCCCATTGAACATCTTTGGGATGCCTTGGGAAGAGCCGTTCAAGCTAACCACCCAACTCCTGTTAATCTCCAGCAACCAGATTTCTTCATCAGGAATAGCAAGCAATTCCACAGACAACACTGCGGCAGCTTGTTCGATCTATGCGTAGAAGATGTCAGAACTGTATTGCTTCCAGGGGTGGGCCTACCCGATATTGAAGGAACAGGATTATCCTGAACTGTAGTGTGTGACTTTTGATTTATAGGGTACATGCAATGCATATTGATTTGCTCTGGTCAGCTGTATGCCAGCGTTTCTTTCGTCAATGAAATGTCATGATTAAATACTTATCTTTCCCAATCAGTGTTGTTCCTGTGGCCACGATTTATTTTTTGAGTGATTTTGATAACTTATTTGGGTGTTCTTTAACTTCTTTTGAGTAGTATACACCGAAACGTCGCTTGTAATTGTGATAAAGAAGTTGTTCATCCATAAATTCTTATCCTTACTTATCCTTTCTTTCTATGTTGTTACCCAGTAGTACTTTAAACACAATCCATGAATACGTCAGCGTGATACGTCTCTGTTAAAGAGATGGGCACGACTTTCAGAAATAGTTATATATTGATTCATCGTGTTATAATTCTGTGTGTTTGCACTTCCATACCCTAACTTGGCCTTCCTTTCTTTGCCCGTCCTCCATGACACAATTTGATAACAGTTCTCAATGGTTGCTTGACAGAAAAATGTGAACTGCACAAGTGGAGAATGTCGCTTGATGGCAGATTGCCAACACCAGAGTTGCCCGGCACTTCCGTATTGTGTTGGTAAGGAAACGTTATTGTACTTTTCTTTATATCGTCACCACGATTGTCTTGTTGTGTATGTAGCAAGCATACCATTATTACCCATATCAAACACATACAAGCAGGCCGGTACAATATATATAACACAGAGATATCACAAAGACATCATCACCACGTTCAGCACATAACACAGTGTAGTTGCTGAACAGTTTGAGTATGATGATGAAACGCAGGTATCATCCTCAACTAATACAAGAGGCAAACACCGGTATGATGGTCAACCTGTAAATTAACGCAGAGTCATCAACTAACAAACGACTAAAGGAAACTTTATTTTATTGACGATTTCAAAGTGTTCGCTGTTGCCTTGTGAGCTGCGTGGTGACTTAGCGTCGCCGCTGGAAGGATTTTATGTATGCTGCACAAGGCCATGCGTCATGCTGCAAACAGGAAGCAGGAAGCATATGCACATTACGACTTTCACGTGTATCCGTGTCCCTGTGGGTAATGTTACCACTTACACTTATTATTTCACAGTCTTTCCTTGCGATCAGGTGTGGTCTTTGCAAAGGATTGTGTTTGACATTAATTTCTTTTCTATCTTATTATATCATCCACAGCTCCTTCGCCGAACGTGACAGTCCCATGTCCTATCGGTAAATCTGCTATCGACCGCAACCTCCGCGAGTTCTCGTGTTTACGAAACAGAGACGCTTGCCCAGGATCCACTGGCTGTGTGGTCGGCGCTCAGGGATCAGCAGCCGTTTGTTGTTACAGACCTCCACTTGTACCAGGTAGACGCATCATGCAGTTCAACACTGGTGTTTCTGATGTTTGGAATACCTGCGTTACAATAAATATTCTTTACGAACATAAATAATTTATTGGCAGATAGTAACATGATACATGGAGAGTAGCATGCAGTTGATTTGTTGACACATTCCGTAGCATGGCTTTCCATCTTTAGGTTGGACAACGACAAACCACCGCTTCACTAAAGGGTTCCCATCTACTTCTGAGAATAGCAATAACATGGCTGCAAGTTCACAATGCACTTTTATTTATTTGTCTGTATTTCTTCTGTTAAGGACCAACACCGACCGATCCAAATCCTTTAGATCCTTGCTTCCCTGGTGTGAGTCTCATTTTATATATTATGTCAAGTCTCATTTTATATATTATGTCAAGGATCTATCAGTGTGCAAACAGGCAACATTGCTTGATAACGGCGTTAGAACCTACACCGAAACGTCGCTTTTAATTGTGATAAAGAAGTTGTTCATCCATAAATTCTTATCCTTACTTATCCTTTCTTTCTATGTTGTTACCCAGTAGTACTTTAGACACAATCCATGAATACGTCAGCGTGATACGCCCTGTATCTGTCGCTGTTGCCACTCTGTTAAAGAGATGGGCACGACTTTCAGAAATAATTATATATTGATTCATCGTGTTATAATTCTGTGTGTTTGCACTTCCATACCCTAACTTGGCCTTCCTTTCTTTGCCCGTCCTCCATGACACAATTTGATAACAGTTCTCAATGGTTGCTTGACAGAAAAATGTGAACTGCACAGCTGGAGAATGTCGCTTGATGGCAGATTGCCAACACCAGAGTTGCCCGGCACTTCCGTATTGTGTTGGTAAGGAAACGTTATTGTACTTTTCTTTATATCGTCACCACGATTGTCTTGTTGTGTATGTAGCAAGCATACCATTATTACCCATATCAAACACATACAAGCAGGCCGGTACAATATATATAACACAGAGATATCACAAAGACATCCCCACCACGTTCTGCACATAACACAGTGTAGTTGCAGAACAGTTTGAGTATGATGATGAAACGCAGGTATCATCCTCAACTAATACAAGAGGCAAACACCAGTATGATGGTCAACCTGTAAATTAACGCAAAGTCATCAACTAACAAACGACTAAAGGAAACTTTATTTTATTGACGATTTCAAAGTGTTCGCTGTTGCCTTGTGAGCTGCGTGGTGACTTAGCGTCGCCGCTGGAAGGATTTTATGTATGCTGCACAAGGCCATGCGTCATGCTGCAAACAGGAAGCAGGAAGCATATGCACATTACGACTTTCACGTGTATCCGTGCCCCTGTGGGTAATGTTACCACTTACACTTATTATTTCACAGTCTTTCCTTGCGATCAGGTGTGGTCTTTGCAAAGGATTGTGTTTGACATTAATTTCTTTTCTATCTTATTATATCATCCACAGCTAATTCGCCGAACGTGACAGTCCCATGTCCTATCGGTAAATCTGCTATCGACCGCAACCTCCGCGAGTTCTCGTGTTTACGAAACAGAGACGCTTGCCCAGGATCCACTGGCTGTGTGGTCGGCGCTCAGGGATCAGCAGCCGTTTGTTGTTACAGACCTCCACTGGTACCAGGTAGACGCATCATGCAGTTCAACACTGGTGTTTCTGATGTTTGGAATACCTGCGTTACAATAAATATTCTTTACGAACATAAATAATTTATTGGCAGATAGTAACATGATACATGGAGAGTAGCATGCAGTTGATTTGTTGACACATTCCGTAGCATGGCTTTCCATCTTTAGGTTGGACAACGACAAACCACCGCTTCACTAAAGGGTTCCCATCTACTTCTGAGAATAGCAATAACATGGCTGCAAGTTCACAATGCACTTTTATTTATTTGTCTGTATTTCTTCTGTTAAGGACCAACACCGACCGATCCAAATCCTTTAGATCCTTGCTTCCCTGGTGTGAGTCTCATTTTATATATTATGTCATGTCTCATTTTATATATTATGTCAAGGATCTATCAGTGTGCAAACAGGCAACATTGCTTGATAACGGCGTTAGAACCTACACCGAAACGTCGCTTTTAATTGTGATAAAGAAGTTGTTCATCCATAAATTCTTATCCTTACTTATCCTTTCTTTCTATGTTGTTACCCAGTAGTACTTTAGATACAATCCATGAATACGTCAGCGTGAAACGCCCTGTATCTGTCGCTGTTGCCACTCTGTTAAAGAGATGGGCACGACTTTCAGAAATAATTATATATTGATTCATCGTGTTATAATTCTGTGTGTTTGCACTTCCATACCCTAACTTGGCCTTCCTTTCTTTGCCCGTCCTCCATGACACAATTTGATAACAGTTCTCAATGGTTGCTTGACAGAAAAATGTGAACTGCACAGCTGGAGAATGTCGCTTGATGGCAGATTGCCAACACCAGAGTTGCCCGGCACTTCCGTATTGTGTTGGTAAGGAAACGTTATTGTACTTTTCTTTATATCGTCACCACGATTGTCTTGTTGTGTATGTAGCAAGCATACCATTATTACCCATATCAAACACATACAAGCAGGCCGGTACAATATATATAACACAGAGATATCACAAAGACATCATCACCACGTTCTGCACATAACACAGTGTAGTTGCTGAACAGTTTGAGTATGATGATGAAACGCAGGTATCATCCTCAACTAATACAAGAGGCAAACACCGGTATGATGGTCAACCTGTAAATTAACGCAAAGTCATCAACTAACAAACGACTAAAGGAAACTTTATTTTATTGACGATTTCAAAGTGTTCGCTGTTGCCTTGTGAGCTGCGTGGTGACTTAGCGTCGCCGCTGGAAGGATTTTATGTATGCTGCACAAGGCCATGCGTCATGCTGCAAACAGGAAGCAGGAAGCATATGCACATTACGACTTTCACGTGTATCCGTGTCCCTGTGGGTAATGTTACCACTTACACTTATTATTTCACAGTCTTTCCTTGCGATCAGGTGTGGTCTTTGCAAAGGATTGTGTTTGACATTAATTTCTTTTCTATCTTATTATATCATCCACAGCTAATTCGCCGAACGTTACAGTCCCATGTCCTATCGGTAAATCTGCTATCGACCGCAACCTCCGCGAGTTCTCGTGTTTACGAAACAGAGACGCTTGCCCAGGATCCACTGGCTGTGTGGTCGGCGCTCAGGGATCAGCAGCCGTTTGTTGTTACAGACCTCCACTTGTACCAGGTAGACGCATCATGCAGTTCAACACTGGTGTTTCTGATGTTTGGAATACCTGCGTTACAATAAATATTCTTTACGAACATAAATAATTTATTGGCAGATAGTAACATGATACATGGAGAGTAGCATGCAGTTGATTTGTTGACACATTCCGTAGCATGGCTTTCCATCTTTAGGTTGGACAACGACAAACCACCGCTTCACTAAAGGGTTCCCATCTACTTCTGAGAATAGCAATAACATGGCTGCAAGTTCACAATGCACTTTTATTTATTTGTCTGTATTTCTTCTGTTAAGGACCAACACCGACCGATCCAAATCCTTTAGATCCTTGCTTCCCTGGTGTGAGTCTCATTTTGATATCTTTGTCTGACCATTGAATGACTACATACTATTCATCACATTAAATATATGTATTTGTGTGTTAGCCGGGAATATCAATATATCTTTCCCCATGTATATTCACTGGTAGCACCATTGCTTTTGACACATGTCATAACTATTACATGTTGAAACTACAGACGAACGGGTAATTCTATTCTATTCTATTCCCTCATGTTATAAACACTTTCTTTCAGAAAAATGTGAACTGCACAGCAGGTGAATGTCGGCTGGTAGCAGACTGCTCTCGAAAAGGATGTCCTGCCGGCCCCACATGTGTTGGTATGTCTTTGATAGCTATCGTGGTTGAGGACAGACACATGCAGATGTCCTGCTGACCCCACGTGTGTTGGTATGTCTTTGATAGCTATCGTGGTTGAGGACAGACACATGCAGATGTCCTGCTGACCCCACGTGTGTTGGTATGTCTTTGATAGGTATCGTGGTTGAAGACAGACACATGCAGATGTCCTGCTGACCCCACGTGTGTTGGTATGTCTTTGATAGGTATCGTGGTTGAAGACAGACACATGGTATGCATGCATGTGTCTGTCTTCAACCATGATACCTATCAAAGACCTACCATGTGTCTTTGATAGCTATCGTGGTTGAGGACAGACACATGCAGATGTCCTGCTGACCCCACGTGTGTTGGTATGTCTTTGATAGCTATCGTGGTTGAGGACAGACACATGCAGATGTCCTGCTGACCCCACGTGTGTTGGTATGTCTTTGATAGGTATCGTTGTTGAAGACAGACACATGCAGATGTCCTGCTGACCCCACGTGTGTTGGTATGTCTTTGATAGCTATCGTGGTTGAGGACAGACACATGCAGATGTCCTGCTGACCCCACGTGTGTTGGTATGTCTTTGATAGGTATCGTGGTTGAAGACAGACACATGCAGATGTCCTGCTGACCCCACGTGTGTTGGTATGTCTTTGATAGGTATCGTGGTTGAAGACAGACACATGCAGATGTCCTGCTGACCCCACGTGTGTTGGTATGTCTTTGATAGCTATCGTGGTTGAGGACAGACACATGCAGATGTCCTGCTGACCCCACGTGTGTTGGTATGTCTTTGATAGGTATCGTGGTTGAAGACAGACACATGCAGATGTCCTGCTGACCCCACGTGTGTTGGTATGTCTTTGATAGGTATCGTTGTTGAAGACAGACACATGCAGATGTCCTGCTGACCCCACGTGTGTTGGTATGTCTTTGATAGCTATCGTGGTTGAGGACAGACACATGCAGATGTCCTGCTGACCCCACGTGTGTTGGTATGTCTTTGATAGGTATCGTGGTTGAAGACAGACACATGCAGATGTCCTGCTGACCCCACGTGTGTTGGTATGTCTTTGATAGGTATCGTTGTTGAAGACAGACACATGCAGATGTCCTGCTGACCCCACGTGTGTTGGTATGTCTTTGATAGCTATCGTGGTTGAGGACAGACACATGCAGATGTCCTGCTGACCCCACGTGTGTTGGTATGTCTTTGATAGCTATCGTGGTTGAGGACAGACACATGCAGATGTCCATAGTTGAGGCAAATGTGACACAAAAGTGGGTGGGCGTACATGTTTAATAGACATATTTATTAGAACTAACCAATAGCACTGGATGAGGTTATTCATACTTTGACTTGAGTTGTGATGGTTACCCATCAACTGTTTTCAGCAGACTGTTCATCACATCTGCAACATTTCTATATAAACATCATATTAAGTGTATTTTGAACTGTCAAATTCTGTAATATAATTTCTTTCATAAACACATTAACGTCAGAGAATAACCGGTCTCCTTTAGTCTTTAACGTAAATACAGCAGAAAGGGTAAGCATGTCCTGCTATTATTAAAATAGTTTTATGTCATTGATAATCTTTCTCTGATTACAGACCCCTCACCCGTACCATCACTGAACTGTGACATTGGCAAGCCTGCTCTGAATTCCTACGGCAATGAAATCTCTTGTGCAGGAGGGGGAGCATGTCCAGTCAACACTGTGTGTGTGGCACATCCATCAGGGGCACCCGCCGTCTGCTGTTTCAAACCAGCTGGTACATAGTATTTCTCATAACAGTACATATAGTCATAAACGAAATATTATTCCTGGGAAATAGTGAGAGAGTTGGCTGCATTACACAATGTGATATCGTGTGCTCCCAATCATAGCCAATAAAATATAACCTCAGCGAACCTGTGCCGCACACCCACAGCCAATACAGTATAACCGCAGCGAACCTGTTCCCCGCACCCACAGCCAATACAGCATAACCTCAGCGAACCTGTGCCCCACAGCCAATACAGTATAACCTCAGCGAACCTGTTCCCCACACCCACAGGCAACACCTCAGCATAACCTCAGCGAACCTGTGCCCCACAGCCAATACAGCATAACCTCAGCGAACCTGTGCCCCACACCTATAGCCTATACAGTATAACCTCAGTGAACCTGTGCCCCACAACCATAGCCAATACAGCATAACCTCAGCGAACCTGTGCCCCACACCTATAGCCTATACAGTATAACCTCAGTGAACCTGTGCCCCACAACAACGGTCAATACAGCATAACCTCAGTGAACCTGTTCCCCACACCCACAGCCAATACAGCATAACCTCAGTGAACCTGTGCCCCACACCCACAGCCAATACAGTATAACCTCAGCGAACCTGAGCACAACACCCATAGCCAATACAGAATACCCTCAGTTAACCTGTTCCCCACACCCACAGCCAATACAGCATAACCTCAGTGAACCTGTGCCCCACGGCCACAGCCAATACAGTATAACCTCAGTGAACCTGTCCCCAACACCCACAGCCAATACAGTATAACATCAGTGAATATGTTCCCCACAACCACAGCCAATACAGTATAACCTCAGTGAACCTGTTCCCCACACCCACAGTCAATACAGCATAACCTCAGTGAACCTGTGCCCCACACCCAAAGCCAATACACCATAACCTCAGTGAATATGTTCCCCACAACCATAGCCAATACAGCATAACCTCAGTGAATATGTTCCCCACACCGACAGCCAATACAGTATAACCTCAGCGAATATGTTCCCCACAACCATAGCCAATACACCATAACCTCAGTGAATATGTTCCCCACGCCCATAGCCAATACAGCATAACCTCAGTGAATATGTTCCCCACACCCACAGTCAATACACCATAACCTCAGTGAATCTGTGCCGCACACCCACAGCTAATACACCATAACCTCAGGGAACCTGTGCACAACACCCATAGCGAACATGTGCCCCGCGCCCATAGCCAATACAGCATAACCCCAGCGAACAATCCATACTAACCACCAAACCATCATCGCACGACTCGGATATCCTAGACAGGGCTTAGACACACTACTCGACTACTATTTCATCGGAAGGACCACCAACATGGCATAGGTGGCCAAGTGATATGGGACATCAATTGGTATAGCTAGGATACTGTTCAGGTACCTTGAAACGTCAGTGAGATACCGATGCAAAATATCAGCTATTTTGTTTAGGCCCAACAACACCCCAACCACCACCAACGCCATCCCGTACAGGCGATCCTTGCGAACCAGGGGTGAGTCTTCTTTTGACCTACAAGTTCATGAAATCTGTGTAAGTTATTAACTTACTTTTTCATTTCAGTTAATGTTATAATGCTCAAGATATCTCCGAATGACATACAATTTCCGCAGGTGTTCAATATGCACTACATATTAATACATAATGGTATTCACTTTCCACGTATCCGTAGCTACACATAGCACATATTCTTTGGTTTCTGTGCATGCCCACGTCTCTACCAGTTTCTATTGCTAGACTATGTGAGCCACATCTTAACCTTGCCGAAGCCACACTGTAGCATTTAAAGTGATGCAGTTTTAAATAAAGAATGTGAGAACGTTTTAGAGCCTAGGGGTAGAGAGGCATGCCAATCCTGTTGATACATATACTTTGATCTAGCCATGTCAAGAATACATACTGCCAATAGCTTCATCTTCCCAGCCAAAACCAAATCCCATTTTAATATATTAATAATCTTACTTTGAAACACTGTTTATGTTTCCATGGCTAGTATCTAGTAGTAGTAGATTATAGCATCTTTTGGGGAAACGACAGGGTTTGCATACACAACAACTTATACGTGTATTTAATACAACGTTTATAAGCCCACGCACGTTTATATATATACCTTCCACATTCACCACGGACAACGTGGTTGGGGGTAGATAAATCTTCACCAAGGAAATATTTACCAGCTAACATCAGCGTTACTATTACAGTCTTATCCCCATATTTCCGCCCCGTATGTAAGAACAGACATTACGTTGAGACATATTTAAAAAGAAATACATCATGTAGGAGAGGTTTCAAATTTTAAAGGAATTTAAAATACCAAAGAAGATCTTTTTGTATTGTAGAATAGAACTTTTCAGGACAAGTTTTGTTGAAAATATGATTCCCAGATATTTATATAAAGTTACATGCTAACTATAGTTACTCTGCAAATGACACTTAAGATTTATTCAAATTTTCTGCTAAATTATATTCCTTACAACACTCATCTAACACGTTAATTTGTTTTTGGAGAACAGAAATAGTCTCTGACAAAATAATTACATCATCAGCAAACAAAAATAACTGACTCATTCTTTCATTTCAATTTGTGTTATGATACTGACAATTATCTCCAAATGAAATGTCAGGTTACTCTTGTGACCCGAGTACATGATGAACTCCCGATGAGACGCCTTCTCGTCACCACACATCCATCTATCTGTACAGTTACCTTCTACCTTCTAAAATTACCTTCTATCTGTTTAAAAGAACAAATGACCTATTGATATATTTAAGCTATAACAACTTTGTATGTCTGGGTCATAATACAACTATTTGATCTGTACGTGAAAAAAGCATACAACAAGGAATTTTCACATCAGTTATAACCGCGAAATTCCGCAGGTGACTGTACTAAGGTATATGTCAATGGTTAATATTGAGCATTACTGTGGTTCTTGGGTCTAAGTGTTTTTAATTTGTAATTCCAACTTGTTTGGATTCCCTATATTTTTCATGTCTCATGTCTTGACGTTGAATAAACATAATTCTCAAATGGCCTCAAAATATAACACCAAAGAATGTTTTACTTTGATACACAACAAATGACATTTTACTGTGGCCCAGTCGTCGGTGCGATTCGCTATGCAGAGTGGCGTCCCTTTAGCACACCAGAAACCTATGATTGTGGGTTCGAATCCCGGTTCGCCCCGATTATGTTTCTAGTTTTGTCAGCGCCATACCCGTGCTCGTGGATTTCACCGAAGTGGTAAACGTCTGAGAGCTGCATCACTTCGGTCTTTCCTCCCACATTAAGCTGACACGCCGCGATATGACTTAATACTGTTAAAGCGGCGTTAAACCCAACTCACTCACTCATTCACTCACTCACTCATTACTCTATGTTAACAACTACCTGTACATTATTGTTGTATGTAGGTGAATGTCAACTGCACAGCGGGTACATGCAGACTGGTGGAGGACTGTCGAATCCGTGGGTGCCCCGCTGTCCCTAAGTGTATCGGTAGGTCATTGCTTATAAAGTGTTTGCAAGGATTTGCACACAACTGACCACTCAGTTCATTATCTCATACAAAATATGAGACACATCAGTGACACAAATTATGTATGTTGTAATTCCAAATTTTAACTTGTACCATATGTTTCAGGTGAACAATTAATTTGTCTTTGCGTGTGTTTGTGACGGGTACCGGGTACCGTCGCATGGAACATCTGGTATCATTACTACTTGAAAGTGATTAATATGATCAGATCAGACACAGGATGATCAGATCAGACACATTATGGCGCAGACACATGATGGATCAGATCAGACACAGGATGGATCAGATCAGACACATGAGGGAACAAACACATGGATCAGATCAGACACATGAGGGAACAGACACATGGATCAGATCAGACACATGAGGGAACAGACACATGGATCAGATCTGACACATGATGATCAGATCAGACACATTATGGCGCAGACACATGATGGGTCCGATCAGACACATGATGATTAGATAAGACACATGATGATCAGATCAGGCACATGTATCGGATCAGACACATGATGATTAGATCAGACACATGATAGTCAGATCAGACAATTGATGGAACAGACACGTGGACCAGATCAGACACATGATTATCAGATCAGACACATGATGGCGCAGACACATGATGTATCAGATCAGACACGTGATGTATCAGATCAGACACTTGATGATCAGATCAGACACATGATGGATCAGATCAGACACTTGATGATCAAATCAGACACATGATTATTAGATCAGACACATGATGGCGCAGACACATGATGTATCAGATCAGACACATGATGTATCAGGTCAGACACATGATGATCAGATCAGACACATGTATCAGATCAGACACATGATGGATCAGATAAGACACATGATGGCACTGACACATGATGTATCAGATCAGACACATGATGTATCAGATAAGACACATGATGATTAGAGCAGACACATGATGATCAGATCAGACACATGATGTATCAGATCAGACACATGATGATTAGATAAGACACATGATGATCAGATCAGACACATAATGATCAGATCAGACACATGATGGCGCAGGCACATGATGTATCAGGTCAGACACATGATGATCAGATCAGACACATGTATCAGATCAGACACATGATGATCAGATCAGACACATGATGGATCAGATCAGACACATGGTGGCGCTGACACATGATGTATCAGATCAGACACATGATGATTAGAGCAGACACATGATGATCAGATCAGACACATGATGTATCAGATCAGACACATGATGATTAGATAAGAAACACGATGATCAGATGAGACACATGATGACCCCATCAGACACATGTATCAGATCAGACACATGATGATCAGATCAGACACATGATGGATCAGATCAGACACATGATGGCGCAGACACGTGATGTATCAGATCAGACACATGATGTATCAGATCAGACACATGATGATTAGATAAAACACATGATGATCAGATAAGACACATGATGATTAGATAAAACACATGATGATGAGATCAGACACATGATGGATCCGATCAGACACATGATGATTAGATAAGACACATGATAGTCAGATCAGACAATTGATGGAACAGACACGTGGACCAGATCAGACACATGATTATCAGATCAGACACATGATGGATCAGATAAGACACATGATTGAGCAGATCAGACACAGGGTGATCAGATCAGACACATGATGTATCAGATCAGACACATGATGATCAGATCAGACACATGATGGATCAGATCAGACACATGATGATCAGATCAGACACATGATGGCGCAGACACATGATGTATCAGATCAGACACATGATGATTAGATAAGATACATGATGATCAGATCAGACACATGACGATCAGATCAGACACATGATGGAGCAGATACATGATGATCAGATCAGACACATGATGGATCCGATCAGACACATGATGGATCCGATCAGACACATGATGGATCCGATGGATCCGATCAGACACATGATGGATCCGATCAGACACATGATGGATCCGATCAGACACATGATGGTTACGATCAGACACATGATGGATCAGACACATGATGATCAGATAAGACACATGATGGAGCTGACAAATGCCGGATATGCTTATTCACAAACCGAAATTAACGTTACTGGTTTGGAAGTAGAGGAATCTTTCGTATAATAGTTACAGTTATAGACCTGATGAGGAAGCCAAGCTGAATATAGTTACAGTTATAGACCTGATTAGAAGGCAAGCTGAATATAGTTACAGTTATAGACCTGATAAGGAAGGCAAGCTGAATAAAGTTACAGTTATAGACCTGATAAGGAAGTCAAGCTGAATATAGTTACAGTTATAGACCTAATAAGGAAGCCCAGCTGAATATAGTTACAGTTATAGACCTGATAAGGAAGGCAAGCTGAATAAAGTTACAGTTATAGACCTGATAAAGAAGGCAAGCTGAATAAAGTTACAGTTATAGACCTGATAAGGAAGGCAAGCTGAATAAAGTTACAGTTATAGACCTGATAAGGAAGCCAAGCTGAATATAGTTACAGTTATAGACCTAATAAGGAAGCCCAGCTGAATATAGTTACAGTTATAGACCTGATAAGGAAGGCAAGCTGAATAAAGTTACAGTTATAGACCTGATAAGGAAGGCAAGCTGAATAAAGTTACAGTTATAGACCTAATAAGGAAGCCAAGCTGAATATAGTTACAGTTATAGACCTAATAAGGAAGCCCAGCTGAATATAGTTACAGTTATAGACCTGATAAGGAAGGCAAGCTGAATAAAGTTACAGTTATAGACCTGATAAAGAAGGCAAGCTGAATAAAGTTACAGTTATAGACCTGATAAGGAAGGCAAGCTGAATAAAGTTACAGTTATAGACCTGATAAGGAAGCCAAGCTGAATATAGTTACAGTTATAGACCTAATAAGGAAGCCCAGCTGAATATAGTTACAGTTATAGACCTGATAAGGAAGGCAAGCTGAATAAAGTTACAGTTATAGACCTGATAAGGAAGGCAAGCTGAATAAAGTTACAGTTATAGACCTGATAAGGAAGGCAAGCTGAATAAAGTTACAGTTATAGACCTGATAAGGAAGGCAAGCTGAATAAAGTTACAGTTATAGACCTGATAAGGAAGGCAAGCTGAATATAGTTACAGTTATAGACCTGATAAGGAAGGCGAGCTGAATAAAGTTACAGTTATAGACCTGATAAGGAAGGCAAGCTGAATAAAGTTACAGTTATAGACCTGATAAGGAAGGCAAGCTGAATACAATTACAGTTATCGACCTGATAAGGAAGCCAAGCTGAATATAGTTACAGTTATAGACCTGATAAGGAAGGCAAGCTGAATATAGTTACAGTTATAGACCTAATAAGGAAGCCAAGCTGAATATAGTTTATGTTTCATGAGACCAGTTGATGGGCGATGTCCAAATATGTCCATATAGGAGGACTGTAGCTCGGAGGTGATGCTGTGGAGGCTTCAGACACAAGTGTTTTAAATATCCACTTTCGTACCCACTTTGCACAAGCACAAACCCATACACATACCCACATCACAGTGTTCTTCTGTACAAACAGATGCTTAAATGTTTTCAATTCATGACATCAGTTTCTCATCCCATAGACCGAGACCGACCACTTCCACCTCCACCTGACGTCTGTCCCGTGGGTACACCTGTACTTGGCGCAGACTTAAACCAGCTGTATTGTGGCCGCGGAGGGAGAAAATGTCCCTGGAATACTTACTGCGTTATTCATCCCGCGGATAGATATGCTGTTTGCTGTTTTGGTTCTGGTCCAGGTATTTTTGTTATGTTCTTCTAACTGGTATCGAGGCGGTGGGTTACGCCGTCACGTCGACGGTCCGGGTTCGACTCCCATTATGGGTACACTGTGTAAAGTCAATTGCTGGAATATTGCTAAAAGTGGCGTTAAGCCACACTCTTCCACTACCTCAATTTACTCTTCTGAGAACTATTAATTTGCTCTTCTAACTGGACCATTGTTTTGTTGCACAGAAGGAACTCCAAACATACAATCTCAACACTTATTAAAAGTTTGTCACCATGTGCGAAATTCATTTGTATTGTGAAAAGTAAGTTGTCAATATAAATTTCATAGAATGAACTAACACATTTTCACCTTGTTTCAACACCAGTTGATTCACGGTTGTAACTAACATCTGTTCGTCATTTGTAACTACATGTTTTAATGTACGTTTGGGTAACGTAAGTAGAACATGTAACCCATTTCACTATCAGGCAAGTGACTTGTGTATACTGCAGTAGGTATTGATAGTTACACGAATAGCTGCAATGTTACAAGCCCCTTTTCAATATGTCATGACTCGTAAATATAATTTAATGGGAATTATTTGTTTGATGGGACTAGAAATGTCCCAGCATCAAATTTATTTCCTCATCTACGAATGTCATAATTATGTTGTGTCGGACCACTGACATTGTCAATTTCATGTTTGTTTTACTATAATACCATCAACAGTTTATGACAAGAAGTATATTAAGAAGCGTTTCCTCCACCAGATTCAGCAATCCCACCAACATCAGCACCAGGACCTGTGGATCCCTGTGAACCTGGCGTAAGTACACGTGTACTTGTCCCACATGAATACACATATCAGAGAATACCATTGAGGTAGCCTAAAATAAGCATAACTGATATTTTGAGATTGCTTTATTAATCATGTTTTCCTTTAATCAGCAGATATTCATACATAACACTTCCTTTGTACACAGGTCAATGTGAACTGTACGATAGGCGTTTGTCGACTGGTGGCAAATTGTGATTACTGGCCCTGTCCTGCGCGCCCAACATGTGTTGGTATGGTAAAATTCCTCTATATTCGTTGTCTGATATTGAATATTCCCCACATTTTAAGAAATAATATGTCTTTGTTAAACATTGTTTTGCTCGGTTGTTGATAATAATCGTAGTTTGAAGATTGTCAGCACGTTATGGTCATAGGCGACAGTCCTAGATCGTGTATAATTAACCACTTATTTCATCATCTCACACATATTCTTATAATACATGATGAAAGCTTAGGTTTAAATTGGGACATCAAGGTACATCGGTGACCTGGTATCGTTCATTCATGATCAAACCGTCAATTCCCTTCCACAGATTTATTCACTTGAGCCAGAAATACAATTGAAACCGTATCATCTGTTTCATGCTTAGATCTATGCATAACGAGTCAGAGTGACAAAAAACTCTCCACAGGACTTTATGTCAAGACTTTCAATGGACTTCAACTGTCAAATAGTCAACTTTCCCTTTATATCGAGCAATAGTCTAGCATCTCCAGCCTTCGGTGTCTACTTTCTAAGACGATGTCAACAGTTGTTAAGGATTACAACATTCAAGGCCTCAGTAAATCTTTCAAAACGTTTCATGGTTGACATTTCTTAAATTTGTCACGAATTGCTTCTGCTGAAACTTCCTGATGTACACATGAGATCACACAATGCAGTTGATCTAAAATGATACCAATGTCAAAAGTGTGTTTGTAGTAATATATTTGTTTCATTTTTCTAATAACAGACAAAAATGAAGGACAAATTGGAACGTTATCTTATTTTCTGATTGTGGCTTTGGCTGCGTTCGGGCGACCCATTAAACCGAAAATAACTTGTTTGTGTCTAATTTACATAAAAAAGACCACAGTGATTTTTCAATGAAAATGACAAAGCAGTCGTAATCTATGTTTGAAGTCTGTTCACAGTTTGAGGACATGATGTGTCAATGTATACCCCGTTATGTTATAGATCCCTCCCCAGAACCGTCACTGAACTGCACAATAGGTGACCCCGCACTGAACGGAAAATTAGAGGAATTCTCATGTGTTGGGGGACGCCTTTGTCCCCTAGACACAACGTGTCTTGCCGCCCCTTCAGGATCACCAGCAGTCTGTTGCTACAGGCCACCTGTCGCCATCACCCCAGGTAGGTCGTTCAGGTGAAACACCAGGTGTTAATGAAATGGGTCCCGCTGTACCGGTTGAGCTCGATGTCAGACGGTTATATCAACATCCTACACGTAGCTTACCCTAACACAGTCGTGCAGACTGTTACATGTGTCAGATTAGTTTTGTGGAACATCAGAATAGGTCTGAGAAGCAGGAATGTTTCGGAAATGAGCGAGTTAGATGCTTTATCGCTCCTTTGCACAATATTTCAGTTATATATGGCGTATCACTAGGGAGAAGAAAGTGATGCAAAGATAGCAATTGCGATGAATCGGAATTCGAACCCACGAGCACAGGTTTCTGGCAGCCCAAGCGAGGCCAGCCTGCACACCATGCAAACCCCCAGGTTGGGACACTCCTACTTATTGTAGGAACCCCAAGAACCCTCAAATGCCATAAGAGATACAAATCAAATCAAGATTTGTCTAAATATAGAACGAGATCTACATTTGGCAACACAGTGCAATCCTGGAACTGCAGTCATACTGATAACATTAAAGGACTCACTGATGTAACTGTAATGTTTTCGAACTATCAAGGTGCGTCTGTGTAACGCTGACGAACAAGTAGAACATGTGTCCCATTTCACTGTCAGGTAAGTGACTTGTGTCATAATGCAGTAGATATTGGTAGTTGTATGAATAGCTGCAATTTTACAAATTCATTTTCAATATGTCATGACTCACACTGGTATTGTAAATCTACTTTAAATGCAACTATTTGATTGTTGAACTTTGATAGAAGTAGACATTTAGACAGCAGCTACAGATGTTATAATTATAGTGTGCAAGACCAGTGAAACTGCCAATTATGGTTTAACAATACTCCCATTAACTGTCTGAGTTAATTTCAGGGGACATTTATGACACACAAAGTGCATTCAGAAGAATTGTATTTAGTTTCGTTTCCTCCACCAGCTCCAACAACAGTTCCAATACCAGTGTCAACAGCAGCACCAACATCAGCACCAGGACCTGTGGATCCCTGTCAACCTGGTGTAAGTACACATGTACTTGTCCCACATGAATACCCAAGAATACCATCTTTGATGACGTCTATGATAAGCATAACTGATATTTTGAGACTGCATTATTAATCATGTTTCCTTCAATCAGCAGATATTCATACATAACACTTCCTTTGTACACAGGTCAATGTGAACTGTACGAAAGGCGAATGTCGACTGGTGGCCATTTGTAAATACTGGCCGTGTTTTGCGCTCCCAACGTGTGTTGGTATGGTATAATTCCTTTATATCGGTTGTCAGACATTGAATTATCCCCACATTTTTGAAAATATATGTCTTTGTAAAACATTGTTTTGCTCGGTTGTTGATCAGGAGACAGTCATTAATCGTGTATAAATTGTTTTCAAGGATTTGCACACAATTGACCACTCAATTCATTATCTCATACTTATAATACTTAATGGAATTTGACGCTTAAATTAAGCAGCAGGTACCTCGATGATCTGATATCGTTCTTTGATGGTCAAGTAGTCAATTCCATTCCAAAGATTACTCACACTGAGCAAGAAATACCACCGACACCGAATCATCTGTTTCATATTTAGATCTATGCAGAAGGATTCAGGGTGACTCTCTACGGAATTGTATGACGAGACTCTCCATAAATTCCAACTTTCAAATAGTCAACTTTCCCTTTCTTTATATCGAACAATATCCCAGCATCTCGAGCCTTCAGCGTCTACTTTCTGAGACGATTTCAAAAGTTATTAAGGGTTTATGTTGAAATTCCCTATTTTAACCTGTACAATCTGTTCCCATATTTTAGCTGAACAATTAATTTGTCTCTGCGTGTGTTTGTGACGGGTACCGTCGCCGGGACAGGATACGCCCACCACTTCGTGAACACCTGGTATCATTACTATAGTATACTGATTCATAAACACATTCTTATGACATTGTCGGAATCGAATAAACTGCTATTAGAAGAGCTGTCTAATGATTATCAAAAGGGTTGTATCGCTTTTATTCATCTACATTGGGATGTACTTTACTTCAAGATCTGATAACTTGAAAGTAACTCAGCGTCACAACAGACGATATGCCAGTGTTCATGATCGGAACTTGTCAGAAGTTCATGTACATGATATCTAGGGCGGGGCCTATCGCATCAGACCTGTGTTGTTATCTGCATAAGGACAAAAGGTGGCATCATGATATGAAGACGCCTGTAACACCACATGTGTGTGGCGTTTGATGTGTGCAGCGACATGTGTCTGGTGTCATCACTGGTTTTCAGCACTCCATTCATATAATTCTTGCTGATATTGGGGGTCACGTGTGGCCCAGTCGTCTAAGGCGCCGCGTTTCGCTGTGCAGAGTTGCGTCCCTTGCGATCAGACACATGATGGGTCAGACGTATTATGGAACGGACATATAATGGATGTGCTTTTTCACAAACCGGAAATGACGAACCTTTCTTATCATAGTTACAGTTACAGACATAATTAGGAAGCCAAGCTGAATACAGTTTATGTTTCATGAGACCAGTTGATGGGCGATGTTCAAATATGTCCATATAGGAGGACTGTAGCTCGGAGGTGATGCTGTGGAGGCTTCCGATACAAGTGTTTTGACTGTGGTCATCGATGTACACTATGTATTAATCGTTGTCATTGATTCTCCTTTTGCAGATGCCTCTCCGCCACCGTCAGTTGAGTGTCCAGTGGGAAAACCAGCGTTGGATGAAAAGCTCGAAGAATTCTCTTGCAAAGATTGCCCCTTCAATACCGTGTGTTATAAAGGCGCTGTCTGTTGTGTCCCATGGTCAGGAAACAGACCATCAGGTGTTTATCCATTGTGTCTCAATCGTTGTTTCTGAATGATATTGTGTGGCACCATAACTATGTTTAACGTGATCGTTATCTTAAACAAACTCCTTGATTATGAATGATGAAATTGTTGCTGGTGTTTACCTTTTAGGTGCTGGGTTGAATATGATAAGTATTACACTGAATGACACAGACGTAAAGATATATGAGCGTCTCAGAAACGGATTGAGGTAGACATACGTGGTGTCAGTTCCTGGTAGTTGCTGTAACAATCAGACGTGAAGGCGAATCATTCCACATTGTTTGTATTGGTGCACATGGCACACAACGATGGTTAGAATTCGACTTATTATCTGTATGCATCAGGTCCCGCAGGTCCCGCAGGTCCCGCAGGTCCCGAACGTCCCGCAACCTCCGTCCCACTGGACCCTTGCACGCCTGGTGTGAGTTCTACAACGTTTATACCATACCTTTTCAAATTAATATTATTTTACTTACATCCTCTTTGTTGTGTTGTTTGGCATTTGCAAAACACTTGTATCATGCAATACCATAGATATGACGGTACTCCAATAATCTATCCACAAATCTTTTTTATGGTGTCCAGTTGAATGTCAACTGCACAAGCGGTGTCTGTCGACTTGTCGAGGACTGTAGACGACCTGGCTGCCCCGCCGTCCCCACATGCATTGGTAGGTACTGGCACTGACACTACCATGTAATCGTTTGCATTTAGAAGTGATTGAAATCAATGACAACAGAACAGACTCATGGACTTGCCTGATAAAGGTGCTGGTATCTGTCCCGAAACGTCGCAATGAAGCAATAAACAAGTTGACAGTCAACTGTCTTTAATGTTACATTATTTGGTTTACAAGACAAAGGTGTTTAGAATGATAGCATTGCTATTATTGCCTTTCGTCAACGAAATTAACGGACCAAGAAATACCCACTTTCGTACCCACTTCGAACAATCACAAACACATGCACATTCTCACAGCCTCATGCATAAAAAAATTCTTGAATGTTTTAAATTCATGTCAGTTTCTCATCCCATAGACCGAGACCCACCACTTCCACCTCCACCTGACGTCTGTCCTGTGGGTACACCTGTACTTGGCGCAGACTTAAAGCAGCTGTATTGTGGCCGCGGAGGGAAAAGATGTCCCGGGAATACTTACTGCGTTATTCATCCCGCGGATAGATATGCTGTATGCTGTTTTGGTTCTGGTCCAGGTATTTCTTAGTATGTTCTTCTAACTAGTATCGGCTTAATTTGATCCATCGCCACGCCGAGGACCCAGGTTCGACTCCCAACATGAGTAGAATATATGACGTCCATTTCTGGTGTCCCCCGCCCTGATATTGCCGGAATATTACTAAATCGGCGTAAAGCTACACTCATCTGCTCACTCCATTGGGTAACGGTGTTTTCTTCTAACAACTATCAGTTTGTTGTTTTAACAGGTATCAGTAGACTCTTCTAACAGGTATCAATTTGCTCTTCTAACAGGTGTTCCTGTGATCACTGACCATATGTTGTACAAAAGGAACAATCTCAACAAATATAAAAAGGCTGTCACTCTGTGCGATATTTTTTTGTATTGTAAAAATGTAATCTATCATTATATATTTCATAGAATGAACTAATGCATTTTCTTCTTGATACTAATCTGTTTAGTATAATCAGACAATGGCAAGGTAACACAATCACATATTTCCCACATTTGCCCCTGGCTACTGAGGATAACTAACTCTTTCTTCTTATTATATAGGTCCGCAGCCACCTATACCTACACCCCCACCTCCAACAACGTACCCGTGCACACCTGCCGTGAGTTGCACTTCCGTTCTTCTATGTGCTGTGTCTAAGCTTGACATCCATAATGCATACCGCATGTTACGTACTCTTCCATTAAGTTTGAAAATCGTAAAAAAGTGTAAATGTCTTAATATTCCTTGTAAATGTTGCTATTACAAATCTTCACTTGAATGCTACTATTCATAATGTGTGCATCCCGGGCCAGAGACCTTCCAGGTTCCATTCCGCATACATTCTCTTCTTTCTTCAGAATATTAACTGCACAGCCGGCGAATGTCGTCTCGTGGCGTATTGCAACGCGGTGCCTTGTGGGAGGACAACGCCAACATGTGTTGGTACGGTATATTCCACACGTCGGGGACACATGGAAATATAAGTTTGCAACTTTAATGAGGAATGAGTCAAACGTTGTTTTCACTATACACAGCCTTCCACGTAACATACCAGATTTCAACATTAGGTTTATGTTTAACAAATACGCGCAGAAACAAAAGAATGTTGTATGAATGTATACTACACCCACCTAACAAATCTGGGTGGTTATATATATAAAGAAAGAAACGAAATAGGAAATTTAACCAATCGGTTTCGTGAGCATTTTCTTCATGTCAACAAGGATAGTTCCATAGACCAAATATGTTATTGGCTGAAATAAATATTCAAGGTCACTAAACCGTAACTGCATATTACTTTTTTATAAAGATGGTTATGGCCCTGGGGCTTCTGTTTGTCTTGTATTAGAGGTGTGTGTGTGTGTGTGAGTGGGGGGGGGGGGGGGGGGGGGGGGGGTTGGGGGGGCAATTTGGGGACATTCCGGAAAAAATGGAGATGGGGCTCCACCTGCAAGCACCCTTCTTGTTGTTCCATGGGATAAAGAGGACAGTTAACTTTACTTGTATTGTAATGCCGAGTCCATTGTAATCTCCACTGTCATGACTATTCCAGACCCCTCGCCGCCCCCAACCCGAAAATGCCCAGTGGGTAAGCCTGTTCTCACCCCTAGGCTGACGGAGTTCAGATGTTACCCCAGGGTCCGTCTGTGTCCAGGTGACTCATTCTGTCTCAGGGGTCCAGGTGACGAACCAGGAGTATGTTGTTGGGATAACAGATTACGGCCAACACAAGGTATGTATATCAACATTAATACTGGATGTGTCTGTCAACCCCAATCTCATGTGTGTATATGAACCCCAATACCAGGGGAGTATATGTAGTTTTTTGGTGATGGAATGGGATAACCTTACCTTGTGTAGTTGTTGCAGTGACATTACTGGTGATATGTATACAATATCTTTCGGGGTGGCATCCTAAAGTACTCATGGAAATGGAAACAAAAAATGTTTTGCTGGATTTAATAACCGACACAAAGCATTACGTATATGTAAATACGAAATAACAAAACAACTGGAAAAGTACTAGTCTGGATTTGCTAGTTTTATCTCAGTGCTCAATACAAAATGTACTTTACAGGAGGTAATTTGTAGGCACTTTCAACATTCAAAAAGTCCAAATTGACATGGCAGAAACAGGCTATAGGCATTATGCAAATTAGCCTGGAAAAAAGTTATCAAAACAACAATAAAAATAACAGCTATGCTTATGTACATAATAATAATGTAAGTTGTTGTTTGAGAAGGGAATATGTTACTTTTACATCCTGATATTTTGACGATGATTCACTATCCAACAATGCCACTCACAAATCACTAACCACTGACAAATCACATGCACGTGGGTTTCAAGCACCTGTTTTCACCTGACGTCAAGGTGTCATAGGTCATGGACATTCACCTTGATCTACTAACACTTGGTTATGCTCAGTTTCACAATAGTCTGTTTTGTTCATATTTTTACACACTTTTACGTGTAAAAACAAAAACAAACCTTGGATACGTTGTATTTGTGCCAAGGCCCAATTAGTACTAATTGAGTTGTTTGAATATTTATATATTTTGTATATTAACTGCATTTATTTAAAATCTGAGATCGAAAAAACGGTTTTTTTTCATTTCCGGGAGTACTTTAGTTGCCAGTAGGAACCAGTTTACATGTGTCACATCACACCATTCAAGTGATGACATGCCCAGTGACACCTTCGTAAGAGTAAGGATTATATAGCACTGGCTTAGGATATAAAATAGCCCTAAGCATTCTAAGCACCAAACACTGCTTCCAAACATAGGTGGATCAAACTCTCATGTATGATACCCGACATACACGGAGCTTACAGCACATGGTAAAGGATCATAGAATGGAAAGTGGTGACAACACAAACACACACAACACTATACCTGTTTGAAAATGAACCTGGGGTGGCAGACTGTTGGAATGATCAGAAATAGGAGAAGTTGACGGACAGTTTCCTTAGTCTGTGATTCCATACTTGATAGCAAACTTCAGGCGTACTCCAAGCCGGTCGCGGGGGAATGAGGAGCACAACGCCTGAACATGATCAATAATACGACTCGTGTCTCTGAGAGACAAGACAAAGTCTGCTTCCAAAGTCAGCTGTTCAGGCCTGTCAGCAATACCAGGTAATCCAACTCCACTATCAGGCTATGCAACGCCACTGTCAGGCTATGCAACGCCACTACTAGTTTATGCAACGCCATTATGAGGCTATGTAACGCCACTACCGGGATATCCACTACGAGGCTATGCAACGCCTCTACTAGGGTATCCAACGCCACTGTCAGGCTATGCAACGCCACTACCTGGGTATCCAACGCCACTACCAGGCTATGCAACGCATCTACCAGGTTATCCAGCGCCACTATCAGGCTATGCAACGCCACTACCAGGGTATCCAACGCCACTACCAGGCTATGCAACGCCACTACCAGGGTATCCAACGCCACTACCAGGCTATGCAACGCCAATACTAGGGTATCCAACCCCACTAGCAGGTTATGCAACGTCACTATCAGGGTATTAAACGCCACTACCAGGCTATGCGCCACTACCAGGCTATGTAACGCCATTAGCAGAGTATCCAACGCCACTGACAGGAACCGCTTGAAAGAAGCTGGTCTTTAATGCCGCCCTCCATTGAGATGAATTTGTCCAACAGCTAATCACAGTGCCAGACACCATGGAAAGTGCTCACATGCATTTCGATATAACCTCCACTGTGTAGAGGGACGACTGCGCGTTTTGAGACGCGCGGATGAGAGTCTTGTGACCTTCATATCACAAACGAGGCATATGCAGATTTCAGTGTCGCTGAAATAATGAATGTCCCCCTTTGAGATCCGGCTTAGAACTTGTCTTCAGAAAGACACTGGAGAGGTTGATGCATTTCGTCGTATCCAAGTTGCGTAGATCGATGGTCATGAAGTCAATTACTGGATCGTCTGATCTAGACTTCATTATTTACAGACTGCCCTCATGTAGTTGGATGCATGCATGTCAAACAGTATTGGTGGAATTCTGATCCAGTGATTCGACAGATGGCACAGAGAGTTGGGCCAACTTTTGAATTTCAGCAAGACAACACAAGGCCTCATACTGCCAGACTGATTATTTTTAACCATCACAATATCCGGGTTCTGTCAATGTCTGGTGGACTGTTAGGCAAAGACGATGTCAGGCGGTAACACAGGTCTAGGGCAGACATATGGGCTACATTGTGGTTGATTTGTCTACAATTTGGTGTAAGCCCCGTTAAATGAAGATGTTTGCTTTGCCTTTTTTTCACTGAGTCTATTGCAAACTCGAAGAATCGATTTTCCTTTGTAATAGACATAGTATCATTTGATTTGAAGAGAATAATCAGAACAGCATAGAGATATATTTATAGTGTGTATATGTGTGTGTGTGTGTGTGTGTGTGTGTGTGTGTGTGTCTGTCTGTCTGTCTGTCTGTCTGTCTGTCTGTCTGTCTGTCTGTGTGTGTGTGTAATAGCTGACATGTTCCTGGATTATACTTAGTTCATAGTTAAACATAGTCCCTTTAACATATGTCCAGGATTATACTTATCGTAATTCATGCAACTATTCCTCCAAAGGTTCAGGCTCAGGCTCAGGCTCAGGCTCAGGCTCAGGTTCCAGCTCTAGTTCCAGCTCAGGGTCAACTTCGGGTTCTGGCTCAGGGTCTGGCTCAGGATCAAGTTCAGGATCGGGCTCGGGGTCTAGTTCAGCGTCTGGCTCAGGATCAAGTTCAGGGTCTAGCTCAGGATCAAGCTCAGGGTCTGGCTCAGGGTCTAGTTCAGGATCAGGCTCGGGGTCTAGTTCAGGATCAGGCTCAGGATCAAGTTCAGCGTCTGGCTCAGGGTCAAGCTCAGGGTCAAGCTCAGGATCAGGCTCAGGATCAAGCTCATGGTTTGGCTCAGGATCAAGTTCAGGGACTGGCTCGGGGTCTAGCTCAGGATCAAGTTCAGGGTCTGGCTCAGATTCTAGTTCAGGATCAAGCTCAGGGTCTACATCTGGGTCAAGTTCAGGCTCTGGTTCAGCGTCAGGCTCAGGCACAGGCTCAGGAAAGGGCGCAAGTTATGACACTGATGCAGACTCGGGCTCAGGTAACAGGAAATGCTTATTGATTATCTGAACAAAAAAGATCAAAATCAAACATTCTATTAAAACGCATGCACGTGTTTCCGGGCGTAGAGTGAGAAATATTTACCTTTTCAGCTTGCTGACAGGGTTAACATGTTTGGCCAAGACGTGGACAAGACGTCCGACTACATCGCCGCTACATTGGCGACCAACGTGTGTCTGACCACGTTCATATCACATTAGAACAGTACCCAACTGAACGGCTCTGTAGCAGAGATGGCATGCTTACATCTTACCTCGTAACATACGTGACCTCTTTGGTTATGTGGAAAAGGCGTCCGGCACCGTGTCAGAAGGTCTGTGGTTTGACTCTCATTACGGCATTTGGACTTTCATGGTCGCTACATATACACATGGCTGTTTAAACATGCAGAAATACTGTAATGTAGTAACGGGTGGGATGATTCTTATTTCCTTGTTAGCTCTCTGTACTTTTATTCGCAATATAGTTTCATGATTGGTATTTCTGTAGATAACAGATCCCCTGGCTATCTGCCGCAAGACCCATGCACTCCCGGAGTAAGTATGATCATGCAATTATGTGGTGTCGGATTGTTATATGTGGTGTCGGATTGTTATATAGCCGTTGTAGCATTAACTCTATAAGTAGAAATATGTGACTTGAGAACAGGTTAGTAGAGACAAGCCTACATGCTACGAATCTCTGTCACGAACTGTGAGCAAAAAGCTGACATGACAATGCTCTATGAACATTACTGAAAACACCATCTCTCGGATGTACCAACGTGTACCTACATCTCATGGTATACCCCTCTTTATAAACATATACACATATACATCATCACATCGGGTAATCACCTGTCTATGTGGAACCAGGCCCAAGATGTACCCACCTGTACCTACATCTCATGGTATACACCTCTTTATAAACATATACACATATACATCATCACATCGGGTAATCACCTGTCTATGTGGAACCAGGCCCAAGATGTACCCACCTGTACCTACATCTCATGGTGTACACCTCTTTATTAACATATACACGTATACAACATCAAACTGGGTAATCACCTGTCTATGTAAACCAGGCCCAAGATGTATTCCCATATGCACTCCACATACTCTTCACATCCTCTTCGCATACTTTTTACATACTCTTCAGGTTCTCTTCACATACCTTCCACGTGCACTCCACACATCCACTCCACATACACTCCATATACACTTCAAATACGTTCCACATCCACCCCTCATCCACTCCGCATCCATTCCACATCCACCCCTCATCCACTCCGCATCCACTCCACATCCATTCCACATCCACCCCTCATCCACCCCTCATCCACTCCACATCCATTCCACATCCACCCCTCATCCACTCCGCATCCACTCCACATCCATTCCATATCCACCCCTCATCTACTCCACACCCACTCCACATCCATTCCACATCCACCCCTCATCTACTCCACACCCACTCCACATCCATTCCACATCCACCCCTCATCCACTCCGCATCCACTCCACATCCATTCCACATCCACCCCTCATACACTCCGCATCCACTCCACATCCATTCCACATCCACCCCTCATCCACTCCGCACCCACTCCACATCCATTCCACATCCACCCCTCATCCACCCCTCATCCACTCCGCATCCACTCCACATCCATTCCACATCCACCCCTCATCCACTCCGCATCCACTCCACAACCATTCCACATCCACCCCTCATCCACTCCGCATCCACTCCACATCCATTCCACATCCACCCCTCATCAACTCCACACCCACTCCACATCCATTCCACATCCACCCCTCATCCACTCCGCATCCACTCCACATCCATTCCATATCCACCCCCCATCCACTCCGCATCCACTCCACATCCATTCCACATCCACCCCTCATCCACTCCGCATCCACTCCACATCCATTCCATATCCACCCCTCATCCACTCCGCATCCACTCCACATCCATTCCACATCCACCCCTCATCCACTCCGCATCCACTCCACATCCATTCCACATCCGCCCCCCATCCACTCCGCATCCACTCCACATCTATTCCACATCCACCCCTCATCCACTCCGCATCCACTCCACATTCATTCCACATCCACCCCTCATCTACTCCACACCCACTCCACATCCATTCCACATCCACCCCTCATCCACTCCGCATCCACTCCACATCCATTCCATATCCACCCCTCATCCACTCCGCATCAACTCCACATCCATTCCACATCCACCCCTCATCTACTCCACACCCACTCCACATCCATTCCACATCCACTCCGCATCCACTCCGCATCCACTCCACATCCATTCCACATCCACCCCTCATCTACTCCACACCCACTCCACATCAATTCCACATCCACCCCTCATCCACTCCGCATCCTTTTCACATCCATTCCACATCCACCCCTCATCCACTCCGCATCCACTCCACATCCATTCCACATCCACCCCTCATCTACTCCACACCCACTCCACATCCACCCCTCATCTACTCCACACCCACTCCACATCCATTCCACATCCACCCCTCATACACTCCGCATCCACTTCACATTCATTTCACATCCACCCCTCATCTACTCCACACCCACTCCACATCCACCCCTCATCTACTCCACACCCACTCCACATCCATTCCACATCCACCCCTCATCCACTCCGCATCCACTCCACATCCATTCCACATCCACCCCTCATCTACTCCACACCCACTCCACATCCACCCCTCATCTACTCCACACCCACTCCACATCCATTCCACAACCACCCCTCATCTACTCCACACCCACTCCACATCCATTTCACATCCACCCCTCATCTACTCCACACCCACTCCACATCCATTCCACATCCACCCCTCATCCACTCCGCATCCACTCCACATCCATTCCACATCCACTCCGCATCCACTCCACAGTCACTCCACATCCACTCCACAACCACTCCACACCCACTACACATCCACTTCACATCCACTTCAAGTACCTTACGTAGGCACGGGTGGCCCAGTCGTCTAAGGCGACGCGATTCGCTGTGCAGAGTTGCGTCCCTTGGGTACGCCAGAAACCTATGATTGCCGGCTCGAATTCCGCTTCGCCCCGATTATGTTTCTAGGTTTGTCAGCACCATACCCGTGCTTGTGGGTTTCACCGAAGTGGTAAACGTCTGAGACCTGCATCACTTCGGGCTTTCCTCCAACATTAAGCTGAGACGCCGCGATGTAACTGGAATACTGCTAAAAGCGGCGTTAAACCAAACTCACTCACTCACTCACTGTGCCGAGTTGCGTCCATTGGGCATGCCAGAAACCTATGATTGTGGGCTCGAATCCCGCTTCGCCCCGATTATGTTTCTAGGTTTGTCAGCACCATACCCGTGCTTCTTGGTTTCACCGAAGTGGTAAACGTCAGAGACCTGCATCACTTCGAACTTTCCTCCCATATTAAGCTAACTCGTTGTGATATAACTAGAATAATGTTAAAAGCGGCATTAAAGCCCAACTCACTCTCTCATTCACTCAAATACGTTCCACATCCTCTCCACATCCACTCCACGTCCTCTCCACATATCCACTCCACATCCACTCCACGTCCACTCCACATCCACTCCACATCCGCTCCACATATCCACTCCACATCCACTCCACATATCCTCTCCACGTCCACTCCACATCCACTCCACATCCTCTCCACATCCAATCCGCAAATCCACTCCACATCCACTCCACATATCAACTCTTCATCCACTCCACATATCCACTCCACATCCACTCCACATCCTCTCCACATCCACTTCACATATCCACTCCACATATCCACTCCACATCAACTCCACATATCCACTCCACATCAACTCCGCATCAAGTCCACATCAACTCCACACATCCACTCCACATATCCACTCCACATCAACTCCACATCAAGTCCACATCAACTCCACACACCCACTCCACACATCCACTCCACATTCACTCCACTCCACATCCACTCCACACACCCCCTCCACATCCAGACATCCACTCCACATCCACTCCAAATACATTCCACACATACTCTCCACTCTTTGCACACGTTCCCCATCCACTCCACATGAGCTCCACATACTCTCCACATACACTCACATATATTCCACATACTCTCCACATAAACTGACATATACTCCACATACTCTCCACATACACTCATATATATTCCACATACTCTCCACATAAACTCACATATACTCCACATACTCTCCACATACACTCACATATACTCCACATACTCTCCACATACACTCACATATACTTCACATACTCTCCCAATGTGTCGCGAATTGATCTACGGCCTGTGCGAACGAATATCTCTTCCAGGAATTATTCTTCAAACAAATTTGCATTTGTTGACGGATTCATAACAAGCTTAACGTACTGATATTGAACCTGGACTCCTTTCCAGCCTGTGTGAGACAATGTGTTTTATTTCTGGACAGCTCTACATCAACTGCACAGCGGGCACCTGTCGACTCACGGCATGGTGCTTATACAACTTCTGCCCGGCAGTGCCGACCTGTGTTGGTTAGTTCAATGTCACGTCAGCCATTCATATACTCATACATATACTTTTAAAGTTATATTTGTGTTATATACTGTAACATGACTCTAACGGGAACACATATTCGTTTCCGTTAAATAACAGAAACAATGACTAAGAAGAAAAACCTCCGTTGACCCTTGTTCACATTTGCTATAGCCAGCATCTAAGAGGTTGTGTCAATCATGCAAGGTTACTGTGCAGGTAGCAGGGGTATTATATGTCCCCAGGATCCCTAGTATGAGGATTCACCTTTGTTTTCTGTCGATCTATAGCCCGGTTTTATAGTGTACTGTTTTTATTAGTAGTGATATTCTAATGCTCAAATACTAGTTAAAATATAATCTCTGATAATCCAGATATTGTATTATCCATTGTCGACATGATGTGTCACATCGGCAGTATTTCAGCCATATCGTGACTAGAAAATTCACTCATTCACTCAAATATGCAGTGTTGTCAGTTCATACATCATCGTCAGTGTATATGATACTATTGTACATGCCTTATAAGTGTGCGATGTGTTATGCTGATATCTCCAGGTCATTGTTCTGCTGCAGGGAAAGTGTTACTAAGAACCCCATGCAACTACCTTTTAACACATTGTTGGTCAAAATATCTAAGAAAGTAGCAGCTTGTTTCAACTCTTCATTCACACGTCTTATGCTTCTCGTTCTTGATGCAAATATCCTCTCTACCTTACTATTTCCTCAGTTCCTCAATGTGTAACCAATGTGTAAATGCCTGTTGTTTCCCGACAGAATATTGCTAGTATATTTCTAAAAGAGGCATAAAATACACTCACTCACTCACACACTCAAATATGTAACCAACTCAATACCTAAGCAACTCAATGCGTCACCAATATTCTTCCGTGGCCTTATACTATCTATAACCATCATCTAAGCCTCATGCACTCATCTGTGTATATTGTATTCAATTTACATTGATAATCAATGGATGTGTTGTGTCCCGTCAGCTTTGTTCTATATCATTTGTGTCTTTGGATTCAACAGACTCATCTCCTGATGCCAGTGGGGAATGTCCAGTTGGTCTACCGGCTTTGAACTACTTTAATAAAGAAGTCTCCTGCAGAACCAACTTACAGTGTCCCAGTAATACCTACTGTAAAAGCCCTGGTATATGTTGCTACCGTGGACCAATAGCTAGACCTCGAAGTTCAAGATATTTGGCAAAATATCTTAAACAAGGACGCTCAGGTAATCGGGGTTTAAGTCAGCTATATAGGAAAGTGAGGTCGCAGTGTCCTTAATACTGTATGTTGTCATGACACATAATAATACTCAATATCGAAAAGTCATTCAATGATGTTCCATCTTGTCATCTTTGTATAATACTATCTCTGTGTGTCATTTGATGTGTACTGTGTGTTATCTTTGGAAGTTATCCCATCATCACTGTGTGTCATCTCATCATCTGTGTGTGTCATCTCACCATCTGCGTTTCATCTCATCATCTGTGTGTGTCATCTCATCATCTGTGTGTGTCATCTCATCACAACTGTGTGTCATCTCATCACAACTGTGTGTCATCTCACCATCACGGTGTGTTATCTCATCATCATCTGTGTGTGTCATCTAATCAAATGCGTGTGTCATATCATCATCTCTGTGTGTCATATCATCATCTCTGTGTGTTATCTCATCATCACTGTGTGTCATCTCATTATCTGTGTGTGTCATCTCACCATCTGTTTGTGTCATCTCATCATCTCTGTATGTCATATCATCATCACTGTGTTATCTCATCATCACTGTGTGTCATCTCATCATCTGCGTGTGTCATCTCATCATCTGTATGTGTCATCTCACCATCTGTGTGTGTCATCTCATCATCTCTGTGTGTCATCTCATCATCACTGTGTGTCATCTCATCATCTGTATGTGTCATCTCACCATGTGTGTGTGTCATCTCATCATCTGTATGTGTCATCTCACCATCTGTGTGTGTCATCTCACCATCTGTGTGTGTCATCTCATCATCTCTGTGTGTCATCTCATCATATCTGTGTGTCATCTCATCATCTGTATGTGTCATCTCACCATCTGTGTGTATCATCTCATCATCTGTGTGTGACATCTCATCATCACCGTGTGTTATCTCATCATCACTGTGTGTCATCTCATCATCACTATGTGTCATCTTATTATCTGTGTGTGTCATCTCATCATCTGTGTGTTTCATTTCATCATCTGCGTGTGTCATCTCATTGTCTGTGTGTGTCATCTCATCATCTGCGTGTGTCATATCATCACTGTGTGTCATCTCATTATCTGTGTGTGTCATCTCACCATCTGTTTGTGTCATCTCATCATCACTGTGTGTCATCTCATCATCTCTGTGTGTCATCTCATAATCTCTGTGTGTCATCTCATCATCTGTGTGTGTCATATCATCTGTGTGTGTCATCTCATCATCTGTGTGTGTCATATCATCTGTGTGTGTCATCTCATAATCTCTGTGTGTCATCTCATCATCTGTGTGTGTCATATCATATGTGTGTGTCATCTCATAATCTGTGTGTGTCATGTCATCATCTCTGTGTGTCATCTCATAATCTATGTGTGTCATCTCATTATCTGTGTGTGTCATATCATCTGTGTGTGTCATCTCATCATCTGTGTGTGTCATATCATCTGTGTGTGTCATCTCATAATCTTTGTGTGTCATCTCATCATCTGTGTGTGTCATATCATCTGTGTGTGTCATCTCATCATCTGTGTGTCATCTCATCATCTCTGTGTGTCATCTCATAATCTGTGTGTGTCATATCATCATCTGTCTGTGTCATATCATCTGTGTGTGTCATCTCATCATCTCTGTGTGTCATCTCATAATCTCTGTGTGTCATCTCATCATCTCTGTGTGTCATCTCATAATCTCTGTGTGTCATCTCATCATCTTTGTGTGTCATATCATCTGTGTGTCATCTCATCATCTCTGTGTGTCATCTCATAATCTCTGTGTGTCATCTCATCATCTGTGTGTGTTATATCATCACAGTGTGTCATCTCATTATCTGTGTGTGTCATATCATCTGTGTGTGTCATCTCACCATCTGTGTGTCATCTCATAATCTCTGTGTGTCATCTCATCATCTGTGTGTGTCATCTCATCATCACTGTGTGTCATATCATCTGTGTGTGTCATCTCACCATCTGTGTGTGTCATCTCATAACCTATGTGTGTCATCTCATCATCTGTGTGTGTCATCTCATCATCTGTGTGCGTCATATCATCACTGTGTGTCATCTCATCATCTGTGTGTGTCATATCATCTGTGTGCGTCATCTCACCATCTGTGTGTGTCATCGCATCATCTGTGTGTGTGTCATCTCATCATCACTGTGTGTTATGTGTCATCTTATTATCTGTGTGTGTCATCTCATCATCTGCGTCTTTCATCTCATCATCTGTGTTTGACATCTCATCATCACTGTGTGTTATCTCATCATCACTGTGTGTCATCTCATCATCACTATGTGTCATCTTATTATCTGTGTGTGTCATCTCATCATCTGTGTGTTTCATTTCATCATCTGCGTGTGTCATCTCATTGTCTGTGTGTGTCATCTCATCATCTCTGTGTGTCATATCATCACTGTGTGTCATCTCATTATCTGTGTGTGTCATCTCACCATCTGTGTGTGTCATCTCATCATCTGTGTGTGTCATGTCATCATTTCTGTGTGTTATCTCATAATCTCTGTGTGTCATCTCATCATCTGTGTGTGTCATATCATCTGTGTGTGTCATCTCATCATCTGTGTGTGTCATATCATCTGTGTGTGTCATCTCATAATCTCTGTGTGTCATCTCATCATCTGTGTGTGTCATATCATCTGTGTGTGTCATCTCATCATCTGTGTGTGTCATGTCATCATCTTTGTGTGTCATCTCATAATCTCTGTGTGTCATCTCATCATCTGTGTGTGTCATATCATCTGTGTGTCATCTCATCATCTCTGTGTGTCATCTCATAATCTCTGTGTGTCATCTCATCATCTCTGTGTGTCATCTCATAATCTCTGTGTGTCATCTCATCATCTGTGTGTGTCATATCATCTGTGTGTCATCTCATCATCTCTGTGTGTCATCTCATAATCTCTGTGTGTCATCTCATCATCTGTGTGTGTTATATCATCACAGTGTGTCATCTCATCATCTGTGTGTGTCATCTAATCAAATGCGTGTGTCATATCATCATCTCTGTGTGTCATATCATCATATCTGTGTGTTATCTCATCATCACTGTGTGTCATCTCATTATCTGTGTGTGTCATCTCACCATCTGTTTGTGTCATCTCATCATCTCTGTATGTCATATCATCATCACTGTGTTATCTCATCATCACTGTGTGTCATCTCATCATCTGCGTGTGTCATCTCATCATCTGTATGTGTAATCTCACCATCTGTGTGTGTCATCTCATCATCTCTGTGTGTCATCTCATCATCACTGTGTGTCATCTCATCATCTGTATGTGTCATCTCACCATCTGTGTGTGTCATCTCACCATCTGTGTGTGTCATCTCATCATCTCTGTGTGTCATCTCATCATATCTGTGTGTCATCTCATCATCTGTATGTGTCATCTCACCATCTGTGTGTGTCATCTCATCATCTGTGTGTGTCATCGCATCATCTCTGTGTGTCATCTCATCATCACTGTGTGTTATCTCATCATCACTATGTGTCATCTCATCATCACAATGTGTCATCTTATTATCTGTGTGTGTCATCTCATCATCTGCGTCTTTCATCTCATCATCTGTGTTTGACATCTCATCATCACTGTGTGTTATCTCATCATCACTGTGTGTCATCTCATCATCACTATGTGTCATCTTATTATCTGTGTGTGTCATCTCATCATCTGTGTGTTTCATTTCATCATCTGCGTGTGTCATCTCATTGTCTGTGTGTGTCATCTCATCATCTGCGTGTGTCATATCATCACTGTGTGTCATCTCATTATCTGTGTGTGTCATCTCACCATCTGTTTGTGTCATCTCATCATCTGTGTGTGTCATCTCATCATCTCTGTGTGTCAACTCACAATATCTGTGTGTCATCTCATCATCTGTGTGTGTCATATCATCTGTGTGTGTCATCTCATCATCTGTGTGTGTCATATCATCTGTCTGTGTCATCTCATAATCTATGTGTGTCATCTCATCATCTGTGTGTGTCATATCATCTGTGTGTTTCATCTCATCATCTGTGTGTGTCATGTCATCATCTCTGTGTGTCATCTCATAATCTCTGTGTGTCATCTCATCATCTGTGTGTGTCATATCATCACTGTGTGTCATCTCATCATCTCTGTGTGTCATCTCATAATCTGTGTGTGTCATCTCATCATCTGTGTGTCATCTCATCATCTCTGTGTGTCATCTCATAATCTGTGTGTGTCATATCATCATCTGTCTGTGTCATATCATCTGTGTGTGTCATCTCATCATCTGTGTGTGTCATCTCATAATCTCTGTGTGTCATCTCATCATCTCTGTGTGTCATATCATCTGTGTGTGTCATCTCATCATTTGTGTGTCATCTCATCATCTCTGTGTGTCATCTCATAATCTGTGTGTGTCATATCATCATCTGTCTGTGTCATATCATCTGTGTGTGTCATCTCATCATCTCTGTGTGTCATCTCATAATCTCTGCGTGTCATCTCATCATCTCTGTGTGTCATCTCATAATCTCTGTGTGTCATCTCATCATCTTTGTGTGTCATATCATCTGTGTGTCATCTCATCATCTCTGTGTGTCATCTCATAATCTGTGTGTGTCATCTCATCATCTGTGTGTGTTATATCATCACAGTGTGTCATCTCATCATCTGTGTGTGTCATATCATCTGTGTGTGTCATCTCACCATCTGTGTGTCATCTCATCATCTCTGTGTGTCATCTCATCATCTGTGTGTGTCATCTCATCATCACTGTGTGTCATATCATCTGTGTGTGTCATCTCACCATCTGTGTGTGTCATCTCATAATCTATGTGTGTCATCTCATCATCTGTGTGTGTCATCTCATCATCTGTGTGCGTCATATCATCACTGTGTGTCATCTCATCATCTGTGTGTGTCATATCATCTGTGTGCGTCATCTCACCATCTGTGTGTGTCATCGCATCATCTCTGTGTGTCATCTCATCATCACTGTGTGTTATCTCATCATCACTATGTGTCATCTCATCATCATAATGTGTCATCTTATTATCTGTGTGTGTCATCTCATCATCTGCGTCTTTCATCTCATCATCTGTGTGTGACATCTCATCATCACTGTGTGTTATCTCATCATCACTGTGTGTCATCTCATCATCACTATGTGTCATCTTATTATCTGTGTGTGTCATCTCATCATCTGTGTGTTTCATTTCATCATCTGCGTGTGTCATCTCATTGTCTGTGTGTGTCATCTCATCATCTGCGTGTGTCATATCATCACTGTGTGTCATCTCATTATCTGTGTGTGTCATCTCACCATCTGTTTGTGTCATCTCATCATCACTGTGTGTCATCTCATCATCTCTGTGTGTCATCTCATAATCTCTGTGTGTCATCTCATCATCTATGTGTGTCATATCATCTGTGTGTGTCATCTCATCATCTGTGTGTGTCATATCATCTGTGTGTGTCATCTCATAATCTCTGTGTGTCATCTCATCATCTGTGTGTGTCATATCATATGTGTGTGTCATTTCATCATCTGTGTGTGTCATGTCATCATCTCTGTGTGTCATCTCATAATCTCTGTGTGTCATCTCATCATCTGTGTGTGTCATATCATCACTGTGTGTCATCTCATCATCTCTGTGTGTCATCTCATAATATGTGTGTGTCATCTCATCATCTGTGTGTCATCTCATCATCTCTGTGTGTCATCTCATAATCTGTGTGTGTCATCTCATCATCTGTGTGTGTCATATCATCTGTGTGTCATCTCATCATCTCTGTGTGTCATCTCATAATCTCTGTGTGTCATCTCATCACCCGTGTGTGTTATATCATCAGAGTGTGTCATCTCATCATCTGTGTGTGTCATATCATCTGTGTGTGTCATCTCACCATCTGTGTGTCATCTCATAATCTCTGTGTCATCTCATCATCTCTGTGTGTGTCATCTCATCATCACTGTGTGTCATATCATCTGTGTGTGTCATCTCACCATCTGTGTGTGTCATCTCATAATCTATGTGTGTCATCTCATCATCTGTGTGTGTCATCTCATCATCTGTGTGCGTCATATCATCACTGTGTGTCATCTCATCATCTGTGTGTGTCATATCATCTGTGTGCGTCATCTCACCATCTGTGTGTGTCATCGCATCATCTCTGTGTGATATCTCATCATCACTGTGTGTAATCTCATCATCACTATGTGTCATCTCATCATCACTATGTGTCATCTTATTATCTGTGTGTGTCATCTCATCATCTGTGTGTTTCATTTCATCATCTGCGTGTGTCATCGCATCATCTCTGTGTGTCATCGCATCATCTGCGTGTGTCATATCATCATCACTATGCGTTATCTCATCACCACTGTGTTTTATCTCATCATCTGCGTGTGTCATATCATCATCACTGTTTTATCTCATCATCACTTTGTGTCATCTCATTATCTGTGTGTGTCATCTCATTGTCTGTGTGTGTCATCTCATCATCTGCGTGTGTCATCTCACCATCTGTGTGTTTCATCGTATCATCTCTGTGTGTCATCTCATCATCTCTGTGTGTCATCTTATCATCTGTATGTGTCATCTAATCAAATGCGTGTGTCATCTGTATGTGACATCTCACCATCTCTGTGTGTCATCTCATCATCACTGTGTGTTTTCTCATCATCAATGTGTTATCTCATCATCAATGTGTGTCGTCTCATTATCTGTGTGTGTCATCTCATCATCTGCGTGTGTCATATCATGTGTGTGTTATCTCATCATCACTGTGTGTCATCTCATCATCACTGTGTGTCATCTCGTCATCACTGTGTCATCTCATCATTTGTGCGTGTCATCTCATAATCACCGTGTCATCTCATCATCGGTATGTTTCATCTCATCATCTGTGTTTCATCTCATCATCTGCGTGTGTCATCTCATCATCACTGTGTGACATCTCATCATCTGTGTGTGTCATCTCATCATCGGTATGTTTCATCTCATCATCTGTGTTTCATCTCATCATCTGCGTGTGTCATCTCATCATCACTGTGTGTCATCTCATCATCACTGTGTGTCATCTCACCATCTGTGTGTATCTTCTCATCATCTGCGTCTGTCATCTCACCATCTGTGTGTGACATCTCACCATCTACGTGTCTCATATCATCATTTCTATGTGTCCGCTCATCATCACTCTGCGTCATCTCATCATCACTGTGTGTCATCTCATTATCTGTGTGTGTCATCTCGCCATCTGCATGTTTCATCTCATCATCTGTGTTTCATCTCATCATCTGCGTGTGTCATCTCATCATCTGCGTGTGTCATCTCATCATCAATGTGTGTCGTCTCATCATCTGCGTGTGTCATCTCATCATCTGTGTGTGTCATCTCATCATCATTGTGGGTCACCTTATCATCTGTGTGTTTCATCTCATCATCTGCGTGTGCCATCTCATCTTCCGCGTGTTTCATTTCATCATCTGTGTGTTTCATCTCATCATCACTGTGTGTCATCTCATCATCTGTGTGTGTCATCTCACCATCTGCGTGTTTCATCTCATCATCTGCGAGTGCCATCTCATCTTCCGCGTGTGTCATTTCATAATGTGTGTTTCATCTCATCATCACTGTGTGTCATCTCACCAACTGTGTGTGTCATCTCACTGTCACTGTCTATCGTCACAAAATCAAATAACTTAACAATGTTTCTTTATTGCAGGCAAAAGATTGCAGAAGCCAGGAAGTTGTCCCGCGGTGAGGCCAGACTGGGCGGGGATATGTGTCGTCCGGTGCTTCTGTGATAATGATTGCCGGGGCAATCTGAAATGCTGCAGCAATGGGTGTGGTCGCACATGCCAGAAGCCCTGCTTTGTCTAGATACTGTATTAAAATAATTTGCAAAAACATACATAATAACTATCAACATTTCAAAAGTGCCATAAGTTCTTATTTTGGAGTGGTTTGCTTGTTGATGTCGACACTGGAGGTAAACATTCTGTTGTGGGTGCATGTTCCTTATTACGCAAGACGCATACGTGGAGTCACGGTACCGCACAGCAGGTTCAGAGTGGCATGGGCACATCTTGTGTCAGTCATGTGTCTCATATTCTTACTATTCTCAAACAAGTGTCACTCTCGTGTCACTGGAGTTTCTGGTTTATCGATCACGTGATTGTCTGGTTTGTTTACAGGCTGACGTTGCATGGCAGGGGTTCTGCTGTGCTGAGATTTTTTATGGAAATTGTACGAATGGCGGGTGCTACCGGTAGGGCAGGGCATGCTTACCCATTTCGCGAACACCTGGTGACATCACTGATTTTCAGTGGTCCATCCATATAATTTCCACAGCGTTTTGCCCTTTACGCCAAGTGGAATATGTATCAGCAGACAATCAAGGCTGGTTACAGTCTTTTGCATTTGACAATATATATTCCTAATAATATGACAAGCTTATGGTGTCAACATGTACAGTACTCAGTCCTAATTTCCTCATCTAATATCCTGTTATTATCACGTTGGTGCGATGTGAGACATTATCAACAAAATAAACACTTAACAAAATTAAAATAATATAAAATGTATAGAAATTACTCCTTACAGGGAAAATACATTGTTATGTTAAGATGAACTAGCATGTTCGAACGACGGAGTAAATTATTGCAATATAGCAGCATGGGGCTATTGTCCCGTTCAGTATTCAATGAAACTTGGTTCGCATGGTAATCCCACCTTCCGTGTGCTCTTGGTGGGAACCTGTACATGATTCCGAACATATCTCCAAACCATGTGTTGCCAGTTGATACGCAGAGCTTACCACAGAAATCAGTTCGCACTGTCCCGAGTTGGGAAATTAGTAAATGACCGACCCCGAACAAAGAACAATCAATACATTTTTTTACAATACAAAAGTCTATACAATGGGTGTAATAGGTTTCAGCAGCAATAAGTAACAGACCCTATAGTAAATGTTAGTGCACTCACAAATGTTCCTATTACAGTGGGGGCGGTCGCTCGTCACGCCGAAGACCCCGGTTCGATTCCCGACATGGGTACGATGTGTGAAGCCCATTTCTGGTTTCCCCAGCCGTGATATTGCTGGAATATTGCTAAAAGCGGCGTAAAACTCACTCACTCCTGTGACAGTGACTGTCGACTGTCGTAAAGGGGGACGCGGTCTTCCTTCTTGAATCGCGAATAGTGTTGGAAGCTGGCAGGAATTCCATTTGGCAAGAAGAGATAAGAAACTAAGTTTTGTCCGAAGAGGTCTCCAACCGCCCTCTTGTCGCTCTGATACAGGTACAGCCAGCCATCTGGAAACTGTAACGTCACGACACTTCTCGAACGATCAAGCCTGTCGTGTTTATGTATACAACAAGGGCGGATAACTCTAACACAAAGCCAACCTGAAAAGCTCCTCACACTGCTGTTGACTGATGTTGGTTGTTAATTGCAGTTCAATCATTTGTTGACTCTGAGACATTACCATAAATAAATTAATAACAGTTCCTGCCGCCACTAATCTTATTTACACGTAGCACATTGCTATTCCGGAGATGTATTTATCCGGTCGATGTCACAGGGTGCCGTCTGGATAAACGAGTTTACGCTTATGTATGGGAATCCGCCATATTTCAGTAAAGTAAATAATCGAGTCTTGAACAGAAAACCCAGTGATCGGTCTCACGCCACAAGTAACACCCAAAACCAGTAGGTGACGCTTAAATTGCCTTTGCATGTATTTGTGACGGGTGCCGTGGGGTAAGATACGCTTACATTTTCACGAACACCTGGTATCCTCAGTACTTGATAGTCATTCATAAAAGACAAATGTTTATGATATAGTCGGAAACATACAATGGATACTTTTTATGGAAAGGAATTTGTCTTTTTGTATTCTGTATGTTACTGTTCAGAAGGTATACCAATGAAGAGAAACACAGAGTGAAATATATAAGGGGATTTAAAACTATACCTAAGCTATAGGGGACAGGGGTGGCCTAGTCGTCTGAGGCACCGCAATTCTATGTGAAGAGTTGTGTCCCTTGGCAACGCCAAGCAGCTGTGGTTGTGGGCTCGAACCCTGTTCGCCCCGGCTTTGTTTCTCGGTTTGTCTGTAGAAGACCCGTGCTTGTGGGTTTCACTAAAGTGGTAAATGTAACTTCATCACGTCGGGCTTTCCTCCCACATCCAGATGTCATGTCATGATATGAAATACTGAAATACTGTTCAAATCGGCGTTAAACCAATTCACTCACTAACTCACAAACGCCAATTGTCACCTTCTTTACTATTATCTATTATTTTTAAATTAAGATATACCTCTATGTGTATACCCAACCCCTCTTATCAAATCAGTTCTTATAGTTCGATGATAATTTGTTATAGCACGATGAGGCGACAGACCTCTCGCCACCTCGTTAATGCGTTGTGTATCACGGGGGGGGGGGGGGGGTGATTATGTGAGCAAACGTAATCTAACCTGAGACTATAACGCCCAAAGAAAATTTCTATGAAGCAAAGTGTCTGTTCATGACACATGTCAACTGCAAAGAACCTGCCAGCAACGCTTATCGCCGCTGGTGTATACTGCCGCCAGGTCTCTCAGCAGGAGAGTAAGTGCACCTTGCCTTATATGACATTGCAATCTGTTTATGTGTTTTGTCTAGACATGTTACACGTGAGTCAGGGTCCGTACGAGGCCGACTTAAGGGTCCATGTCGAAAAAAAGGAAATATCAGCACTTCAGATGTCATTTCCGGTCGTCCTTGGCACGTCGCTGGTGACGTCTCAGAACTGGGAACGTCACGGAACGCATTTCCCTCAGGCCAAATAGAGGCAAAACATTACAGTAACACCCTATCAACGTTTAGAAGTACGAGATTGCTGCACATGAACCGACTATATCATAAGCATGTATTTATGAATCACTATCAATCAGTGAAGAAAACAGATGTTCGCGAACACGTGGTATCACTACTATTTGCTAGTATATCATAAACACATGATCATGATATAATCGGAATCGCACAATCGACTTTGCTTTATGCAGAGATTCGTATTGGATATAAAGAGGGATTTGTCGCTTTAGTTATCTACATCAACAAACATGTGACAGATTGTCACTATCACTGTGGTATTCGGCCACTTTTGTAGCTCTCGTGAAAGGTTCAAAATTAACTTATAATCGGTACATCGTCAGGAGTGTTTGGTGATCAGATTATTAAAATGTTGTTCAAAAGTAGCCTAAAGTTTAACCGAAAATTAATTTTCTCATGGAGGTCAATATGTGAGGACACATTGCAAATGTAGCTCTGTCGATTTTGAAAAAGTACTACCAACTTCATTTTGTGTGAATAGTAACGGATTAACACAAGGAGTATCCACACCTGCATCTCGTCATATTTGAAGTCCAAAACATCGCAAACAACATGCTACCAAAACAAAGAGTCACAACGGCCAAACATCGGCCAAAACAGAAAGTGCGTATGTTGAGAGTGATCCAGGGTGGGGTAAGTGAGTGTTGTCACTTAATGGAGGCTGCGCTACATGAAGACTGTGTAGTTGTTCTCACGGGCAAGGCCTCAATAAACATAACTATAACGGATAAACATCTCTACATTAATCATTTGATCAATTAAAGCGACAAAAACCATTACCATAATCACAGGAAATCTCTGCTTACAGAATCCTTTGTACGTACCATACGATTCTGACCATAAGATTCACGAACATATGCGCGTATCCTGCCCAATCGGTGGCACCCGTCACAAACACATTAAAGGCAGTCCAAATGTTCACCTAAAAATACACGGGACCATATGGTACAAGTCATAATAGGGAATTGCTTCGGACATTTGTGTCACTGATGCGTTTCGAAATGTCCTCCTCATGTCTACCATGAAACGTTTAGAAAGCTTTACTGAGGCCTTGACCGTTGCCGCCTCAAACAACGTTTGAGTCTAATGACGCTCTTTAAAGTATTCGTGGTCAGAGCATGCTCGATTGAAGCTGAAAAGTTATGAAATGTACACACCAAAGGCTGGAGCTGTTGGAATAGTGCTCAACATATAGGGAAAGTTGAAATCATCCCTCTTGTCATTTAAAGTGACAAAAAGCTCTCCACAAGGCTGTATTACAAGAAGTGTGAACCCTTGCTAAAGAATGTTGTTAAATCTAAACATTTGTTCCCGTCTTTTTTCAGGTGAACAATTAACTTGCCTTGCACGTGTTTGCAATGAGTGCCACTGGCAGGCGGTAAACGCTGGCTTTTTCGCGTACGCGTGGTATCACCACTATCACTATTTGCTATAACGCAGACCTGCCATAAAGAAGACCAAGAAGTAAAGTTGACTATATAGCAGATGCTTGTCACCACTAATTATTTAATAAACCTTCCTCGCATTAGAATAGCTTAGCCTTGCGACTCAGCCTTCAACTAGCTTCTTATAAGTATAATGTACGAACAGCAGCAGAAACGCAATCAACTTTCTCATTACATTAATACAACATATGTTGTTATCAAAACTTACAATTAGGATTAACAAGGATCTTAACTCTACACCGGCTTCTTACAATCTACTCAGTCTTAAGACAAGTAATGATAGCATTGTTTGTAATCTAAACATACTATTGCGCACACAAACAGCGCAGCCTGGTTTTAACTTTAACTCAAACGTGCATAGTCTAATTAAATCAGCAACATTGTTATGTTTTGATTGTAAAATAGTCATTTTAGAATACATGTATACATAACCACCAACAAAATGCAAAAGAAATAACTTCGGCCTTAAGCATGTGGAATTCGTTCAGTCCCAGAAGGGTACGGTGCCGCACAAATCTCACTTGGTGTGTATCATGGTGTGCAATGAATCGTGTAAAAGGTAAATCGATCGAACGTGCCGAGGCAAGTGTACTACTGTCAGGAACTTTGATATGGCCACAACCATCCTCCTTGTGATGAGAGAGTTATTCTTTTCACCAGCACAATGAGAAAATGTTCAAGA